GAGATACAGAGAGAGAGAGAGATTGATTTATAGATAGATAGATAATTTAAATGTATGAACTGTAAGTACTTGAGTAATTAAATAATTAAATTAGATAAACAGTTAGCTAGATAGGAATATCCAGCAGATATACGCCCACATCCACATACAGTGTATATATACATATACATTTGCCCCCTTCCTGATTTCTGTGTTCTTTGCATATTTATCACACACAAAGGATTCAGATAATCAAACCAACCTTAGTATCACACAGAGACAACCCATGGAAATACAAAATGTAGTTTCTAAATAATGATTTTATTTACCAAATGCGGAATCATTACAAACCTATCTGGCTCTATGTGAAAAAGTAATTACCCCCCACCCATTTATTAAATCACAAAGTAACTGTGACTAACCACAGTTTTGGGAAAGCTGAGGTACTTTTCACAGACCACACCCAAACCTGATTACCACCACATTTGTTGAATCAAGAAATCACCTCAATAGAATCTGTCAGACAAAGTGAAGTAGGCTACAAGATCTCAAGAACAAACGCATCATGCCACGATCCAAAGAAATTCAAGAAGAAATGAGAAAAAGTGATTGAAATCTATCAGTCTGGAAAAGGTTACATAGCCAATTCCAAGGCTCTGGGGCTCCAGCAAGCCGCTGTTAATGCCATTATCTGAACATGGAGAAAACTGGGAACAGTGGCAAACCTTTCTAGGAGTGGTCGACCAATTAAAATTACTCTAAGAATGCAACAACGACCCATCCAGGAGCTCACAAAAGAACCTAAAACAACATCCAAAAAACTGCAGGCCTTGCTGGCCTCAGTTAAGGTCAGTGTTCATGACTGCCATAAGAAAGACACTGGCCAAAACTGTCATCCATTGGAGAGTTCCCAGGTGAAAAACACTGCTGTCATAAAAGAACACAAAGGCGCATCTGATATTTGCCAAAAAACATCTTGATGATCCTCGAGACTTTTTTCAAAAACAGTATGCGGACTGACTAGTCAAAAATTGAGATTTTTTCAAAGGTGCAGCCTGTTACATCTGGCATAAAAATGGCACAGCATTTGATAAAAAGAACATTATGGTGTAATGGTCTGGGGCTGCTTTGCTGCCTCAGGACCAGGACTACTTGCTGCAATTAATGCAGTAGGACAATGATCCGAAACACACCAGCAAGTCCACCTCTGAATGGCTCCAAATTAGGGATTGGAGTGGCCAAGTCAAAGTGCCAAATACTTTTTCACGGCACTGTATATATACACTGTATATATATATATATACAGTATATGCATACACATGTGCAGACATACACATACACAAGTGTGCAGTGAGCATATATATAAACATAAACATAAAATAAACATATTTAGAATATAAATATAAAATAAAATATAAAATAGAAATTCAAAGGTTTATTGAAATATAATAGTAATGCAAGTGGAGATTGTGGTTATTGCACTGAAATTATTGTTGGGCTATTGCTCCTACTCCCCTATCCACCAGTCATTTGTTCACCCTCCTCCCACCCAGTGAAGAGTTATACGTTTAATTATATGTTTAATTTCCCGGTGGACAAAGGAGTCTGTTGGTCCTGTTCTTCAGACAGAGGAGGCTGTCACTGAACAGACTCCTCTGATTGCTGATGACAGTGTGCAGAGGATAAGTGGCATTGTCCAAGATGGCGAGCAGTTTGCCAAGTGTTCTCTTCTCTGCCACTGTCACCAAAGGTCTAGGTTGGTTTCCACCACAAAGCTAGACTTCCTGATCAGCTTCTCCAATCTGTGTAAGTCCTTCTGTGATGTGCTGCTCCCCCAGCAAACAATAGCGTACGAAATAATGCTGACAACCACAGTCTTGTACAGTTTACTCTGGGTCTTCTTGTACAGCTGCCTACTGTTGTGTGCCAAGTTCAGCTTGTTGTCCAACCACAGCCCAAGGTGACACAGCTCGGAGTTGTACCAGAAGTCAGAGGTGTATAGAGTGAAGAGGAGAGGGGACAGCAACCTCCCCTGTGGTGCTCCGATGTTGCTGACCACAGTGTCAGATGTGATGTCATTCAGCCAGACATACTGGAGTGCAAGTGATTGGATGGTGTTGAAGGCGCTAGAAAAATCCAAGAAGAGGATTCTCACAGCATCGCTCCCCCTGTGTAGATGAGAGTGGGCTAGGTGTAGAAGGTAGAGGATGGCATCCTTTACACCAACCTCCACTCTGTAGGCAAACTGTAGTGATGAAAAGATAATAGGGTTCACCTTATGGCCTACTCCCCAAGTTCAGCAGCGCAGGTCTTCAGTACCCGTGGACACACCTTGTCCGGGCCTGCTGCCTTCTAGGGTCTGAGCTTCCTCAGTTGTCTCCTCAGCAGTCAGCTGTTATAGGGTGTGCGGGGATGAGGGAGAATGTGGTGAAAATTAAGGGGGGAGGGAAGGAGGAGAGGTGGAAGGGGAGGGGAGAGAGGAGAGGACGGAAGAAGGGATGGAGATGCACCTCTCCTGGTGCATATTTAGGGGGACAAAATTACAAGCAAGATGATTTCAGTAGCAAAAAAAGCAGATCATTAAGGCTGGGTGAATGTAACAGCAGATAAGGAAAATAAGTCTGTTTTAGAGTAGTCTGATTTGGTGTGGGTTGTAGTGTTTATGTTTATGTTTATGATATGTTTTCCTACACATCCTGTATTAGACCACAGTCCCTTTGAAAGTGGAATGACAACCATCTTTTCAGGCAGCATCCTAGTTTGGAAGGATTTAAAGGATTGAAAGTCAACCCAACCCAAGTCAAATACAGTAGATTTGAGCTCATTCTAAAGCCAGCCTTGGTGAACACCACAATTTATTTGTCAATTGTCAAATGGAAAGTCAAACTGCATCAAAGCAACTAAAGACTAAAATGTCTATAAATTGACAGAATTAAAATGGCAAATTAAGTCGAAACAATGTCCCAGGACAGCTTTACTTGACAGTGTTTTAGTGAAATTAGATATAAAGTTCCTTTTATTACACTCCAAGAAGACAACTCAGTAAATAAATACTTGTATCTCGGGTAATGTTGAATAATTGCACTAAATGTAAGTACTTTGAAGGGGGTGGAAATTGCCGGTAAAATAGCTTTTCTTTTGTTCCTTTAAATGCCATAGCAACATTCAACAGCACACAGTAAGCTTTTTGATATTAAAACAACCATTGGTATCCAAGAAATCACTGACAGAAAAAAATAAAAAAAGAATATAGACCACACCCAGACACTGCAAACTGAAGGCTAAGGTGTGTTTTTCATGTTTACAGACTGTCTGTATAGGAATCATTGGGACATTCCCAACTGGCCATATTGTTTTGGAAAAGTCTTGCAGGTCACTCTGAGTGTTGTCTACGTACATAGACCACAAAAAAAATGAGGTCATTCTTAAGTCAAAACATCCCACAGGATTTTCAGTACGCTGACTTGTAACCTTCCATTGTTGTTCCATTGTGCCGTGTTCTCATGTTTTCAGTAGCCAGACCATAAAATGTCCGGTCGCATTCCTGGAAAAATCAGTCTAGGATTTCACGTGTGTTTAAATGGAAAACAAAAGCAGCAACGTTTGATGATAAATAACATCTCTGCTGCAGTAACAACTAACCACATGCACAGACCTCAGGGTCAACAGGTCACCATACACACTGATAGGACTGATAGGAACAAAAGCTTGAGACTCAAGTAATTTACTGATGTCATGTAAACACTGACTGGAAGTGTTATGTTACATAAGCTGGCCTAAGTATACAAATGTAAGCAGTCATATAATGGCAGAACACAGACATCAACAAGTCATCATCAGCCAATCAGGAAACAGATATTTCTTTCTGTATGTGTTTTATGTATTTTAAAGCCAACTGCTAACTTTACTTAGTGACTCATATTTTAGCTATCTTCCTAGGTAAGGGTTAACTATCTTTAAGCTAAAATTTTAACTGTGTTTAGACAATTTTAGCTATTTTTGGGGTCCTCATATTGTTATCCTTAGGCATGCAGCAGAAGTGGGCTTTTGACCTTTATGAAAAAGAAAATCAAACCTATATGCTACTGTATAAGTTGCAAATTAATACTTAGTAGCCAATAAAAAACAGATTTATAATGTAAAACAAATGTTTATTCCCATAATTAACACATACAGTACATTATTTTGTCCAAAATAAAAAGTGCAATATGCTTGCAAAAGACAGCAACATACAGTACAAAAATGAATGCATAAATATAGAGGAAAATGGTTACATTACCATCAACTAACCTTTAGTGATCACCATCAGGCCAGTGTGACAACAGCTTTAAAACTCATGTATGATATGAGAACTAACAGTTGTGAGCCTGACGGCTGTAACAAGTTATTTTAATTTCTCCAAAAAAGGTGCAAAAAAAAGAAAAGAAAGTTTGACAGCATTTTAATCAATAAAATGATTGACATTGGAATTCACATATTTTGTACAGCTTTAATGGCCATTTCATTGTGGTGCCACAACTTTGGTCTTTCACATTTAAATAAAAAAGAGCATAATTTTAAAATCTTGGCAACCCTCATGGAAGGATATAAACTTAAGAAAAAAAGTTCTGCTTTTTAGTGGTTCCTGCTCATAACCCATCTGTATATACTTCAGGATTTCTTAAATTATTTTCCTGTCACACAAGGAGTTCAAGTTACTGCAGTTTGATTTCTCACGCTATCCTCCCACTGCAAACCATGGACTGAAGGGAAGGATCAATAACATTTCACCAATGTTATGTTGGAAGATAACTTGCTGTGTACCAGTATTCACTCCAAAAAAATAAAGCAGTGCAAAGGAACAACAAACGTTTCTGTAGCATTTGTTGAAAACAGTAATCATGCCACAACTCCATACTTCTGATATATTTATTCTTTACACTCACTCTCAGCAATGCATTGGACAGATTTTCTAACCTCAATGCCATTAAATGAACTGAGTCAAACTGTAACCTAGTGTTCTTCAGAAAAACAAGCTTCATGAATGCAACATGAGGTAACCATTCATTTTTACAACCCTCCAGCTTCACCATCTGTGCAGTAAACAGCTGTACATTTATTAAACACAAAGCTTTCTGTCTAGCGCTGATGAGGGTCCTAAGTTCATCAAAGCAGGCTATTGGGTTCATCAGGTGGTCCATACTGTAATAATCCGAGCGCCAGGGGGCGCTATGACTTATCTTGTACCTTCTCCTCTTGCAGTAGAAGACATGACTGTGTGCCTCTGGACTCATCATTAAGGCACTTTGTTTGTCCACGACTCAGACCATGTTAGAGGTGAACTGATGGCTTACACACTTGCCTGAAACAGCAATATGACTTATTTAACTGTGAGCAGCAGTTGTGGCAAAGGAGAAGTGGTTTATCCTCACAACATCAGTTGGCATTGTTTACTTTTAAAAGTTTCTTTCTTAGATCTCTCCCTTTTCAAGGATTTTTAGAAAACCCTCTACTGAAGCTGCAGGTGACACACGGCTGTAGTTGGTATGAAAGCTCCAGATGATGTGTCAGCTTCTGTGCTCACCTGAAAGTGCTCTCTGTGGAGCAGACATCCTTGCAGGGTTGAGGCAAGGGGGTGGTGTTTGGGGAGTCCCTCTCTGGCCCAGTGTCTGGATCTGGGGACAGTGAAAGGAGCAGAAGAGTTCCTGCATCTGAGGAGCAGGCTGACCAAAGATCCTCAGAGGAGAAGTCCAGACTGTCCAACTTGGCCAACGAGTTGGACCTCTTTAGCCTGGAGGGTACAGTCAGACCCGCCAGTCGCATATGGGTCTCGATCTGCTGCGCCCTCTGACGCACAAGGCCAGGTTTTCCCCTCACGCTGCGCACACTTTCAGTACTGGAGCTGCGAGTCAGTTTGGAGCCGTGAGGTGCGGAGATGGGTGTGACCAGCCTCAACAAGGCTTCATTGGCCAGTGGCATCCCCAGTGGCTCAATCTGAACTTGGCATGGTGTCGAAGATTGAATGAATTCTCCTGTAAAGCCTGAAAATTCCATTTCCTCCTCCATATGATAATAGCTCTTCTTGGACCTTTGGCACAAGTGAAGAGGCTTCAGAGAGTGCAGGATCCCATGAGCAGAACCTGAAAGTCTCTCAAGTCTCTCAGCATGGCGACGGACCAGACCAGATGTCCTCAATTGTGAGAGGGTTCCCTGTTGTTGGCCGAGGTAACAAGCCAGCGCAGGCTTCCCCTCGATAAAATCCATCCTCACTAGCTCAGGAAGCATGTCTGCTTGATCTGCAGGTGGGTTATTTTCAGACTTTTCATCAATCCACATTTTTTCTTCCTGTTGGCTCTTTGAAGAGACCATAGCTGTTGGTGTTGAGGCAGCACTGTTGGCACACTCGCATAAGTGGTCAGGACTGTGCAGAGTTTCCACTGAAGTCATGAGGCCTTCAGATGACATCAGGGACTGCTGTGATGAAGCACTTGGGACTGTAAGTGGACTGGGCTTAAGGCCACATGGGGAAGACAGCGTTCCAAGGTCTACTTTCTGGATGGTTTCTGTACCTGGACTTTTCAGTGTTTGTAAATTAGGAGGAAGCAGGAAGGAGAAAGGTTTACCCTAAATATAGAAGAAAAAGAAATTATTGCAAGAGGTTCTATGTTAAAAACAGTTTGTAAATTGGGCATTGAGAATTAATTTATTAAACAATTTACTTATAACACTGTAAACAATTATTGTTGCTTGGTATGCCATATTTTATATTATTTTTGGGGGCAGTGGTGCCTTAGTGGTCAAGGAAGTGGACTTGGGTCCAGAAGGGTTTGAGTCCACCAGCTGCCAAGTTACCACTGAGGTACTCTGAGCATGGCACCGTCCCCACACACTGCTCCCCAGGCGCTTAAAGCTGCCCACTGTTCACTTTGGTAATGGGTTAAAAGCAGTGGTGTGCTGTGTCACAGTGACAAGTAGTTAACATTCCACTAATGACAGTTTGTAATGAGACACAGCTAAAGGATTGAAACACCACCTGCATTCAACAGCTGTATTCAGCGGTCACCTTTGTGCATAAGAACTTCAAATGATTTTTTTTTTACTTTTTTTAATGTAGTGGACAAAAGATGGTGACAGGCAAACTAGATATCCAACATTTCTGCTTGTAACAACTGAACCTGTGGTTGCTACTTTGACTTTGTTCTAAGTTTTGAAGTGCGAGACATTTGCTGACTTACGTTATTAGAATTTTTTTTTTTTTGCATGTTTCAGCTTTTTTTTACTTTGAACTTACATTGTGGTAACATGAAGAGCTGACATGGTTGTTGTTGTTGGAATTCTCATTGAGGGTTGCAAGATCCATCCCAACGCCCTCTGTATCAGCTTCCACATCTTCATCTTGTGTTTTCTCCCTTCTGCCTCCGTCCCCACCCCCTCCATCATCTGGCTGCATCAGGACATCCATCTCCGCCTCCTCCTTCTGTACCTCCTCCTCGTCCTCCTCCTGCACTGTGCTGAACTCCAGCCTCAGACGCAGTTCCTCAAGGGGCTCGGGGCCACGACTGCAGGTTTGGGCAGCAGTTCCCTCTGCTGCAAAATGGGGCAGGGGGAGGCCATCATGACCGTCGAATGCCTCATCATCCAGCAGAGCATCTCGCTCCACGTCTTCAATTTCTATGAATACTTTTTCCATGCCAAAAAGAGGCGGACCACGCACAGGTGTTGATGGTTCGCTGTCGAGTGCTGAGTCAGAGAGGCGGCGAAAATAGTAGTTGTTATAGGCGGGGTCGATGTCTAGTGAGACAGTCCTACATGGTGAAGGACCTGTTGCACCTTTCTCTGAAAGGCCCTCCTCACAGCAGGGAGACATCCCTGCTTCTGAACTGCCACAGCACTGAGTCAATCCCTCTGCCATTTCACAGTCTGAATCTGGATGCCACAGTTTGTTGTGTCTCTGTTTACTGAAACCACAGAAAAACACCAGGATAAATAAACACAACTTTTAATAGTGGCTTTTTTCCCCGTGAGTTCATCCATTCATCCAGGTAATGGGAATGTTCAAAAAGTTCTGTTAGGCAACTGGACGTGAATTTTCTAAAAGAAGATGTTTCACCTCTAATCCAAGAGGCTTCTTCAGTTCTAACTGGTGGTGGGGAGTACAGCAGTTATATACTTCGGGTGTGACAAAGAATAAAGCTACTTCAGCTGCACCCTGTTGGGTGGGGCCTTGTGGTCAACTGTGAAAGTATAAACAGTCGTTAAGAGTCTGATGGGTTGTTGTGGTCCCCATCAGAACGGTTTCGGTCACCTGCCTCTTTGTTGTGTGAAACTGATGTGAAACTTTTGGGTATTGTTCCTATGAGTGCTTTGTATGTGGGTGATAGGTTGTGTCTGAGTCCACCTCCTCGGGTGAGTGATGGTTTTTCCAGGTTGACAAAAATGGCTTCTTTTATCCCTCTCTCGAACCATCTGTCTTCTCTGGCCAAAATGTGTACAGTGTTGTCCTCAAAGGAGTGTGTTTTGTCCTTGAGGTGTATGTGAACAGTTGAGTTCTGTCCTGAGGAGTTGGCCCTCCTGTGTTGGGCCATGCACCTGTGTAGCAGTTGTGTAGTCTCCCCAATGTACAGGTCAGTACACCCCTCACTGCACTGAACGGCATAAACCACATTGTCCAGCTTGTTCCTTGGAGTCTTGTCTTTGGGATGAACCAGTTTTTGTCTTAGGGTGTTACCAGGTTTGAAGTGTACAATGATCTGGTGTTGGTTAAAGATCCTCCTAAGTTTTTCTGAAACTCCTGAAATGTATGGAATGACGACATTCCCCCTGATCCTGTTGTCCTCCCTCTTTGTGGGCCTCTTGTTGTTTGTTTTTAAAATCACCCATCGGGAATAGCCACAGGTCTTGAGAGCTGTCCTAATGTGTCCCTGTTCTCCCATGTTACCTCTGTTGGTGGTGGGAATGGTGTCTGTCCATGACTGTAGGGTTCTGATGACTCCTAATTTGTGCTCCAGTGGGTGGTGTGAGTCAAAACGGAGATACAGGTTGGTGTGGGTTGGGTTCTTGTATACCTCTATGTTGAGTTGTCTGTCCTCTGAGATGTGAAGCGCACAGCCCAGGAATGCAAGACTGTTGTTTTTCACATCTTCTCTGGTGAACTTGATGTTCCTGTCCACAGCGTTGATGTGGTCTGTGAAGTTATCGACCTCATGGACCTTGATTTTGAAATGTTGTCCACATATCGGAACCAGTGGCTGGGTGATGTTCCCACGTAAGAGTGTAGAGCCTCAAAAGAGGCAATGGACACAACCTATCACCCACATACAAAGCACTTTTAGGAACAATACCCAAAAGTTTCACACAACAAATAGGGCAGGTGACCGAAACCATTCTGATGGGGACCACAACATCCCAGTTTGAGGTGAAACGTCTTCTTTTAGAAAATTCACGTCCAGTTGCCTAACAGAACTATTTAAACATGCCTCATCACTATTCCTGGTCTTGGAGTTGGAGCTAATTGCTGCAATCCCACCCTGGACAAATTAATATATATATATATATATATATATATCTATGGCTTGAAAACCCAGCCTGCATGTTTTTAGGGTGTAGGAGGAAACCAGAGTACCTAGAGAAGAAAGCCCACACACACACACACACACACGGAGGAGATAGAAACTGCAGTACAACGAAAAAGATCATGATCTTTTTGTACGACAGGAGCTCTAACCACTTCTTGCAGTGTGGCTCCATTACCAACATTTTTAAGAAAATAATCAACAATTATGAAGTACTTCAGACCCCCCTCCAAAAAAAAAACCCAATAAAAACAGTAAATATAATTTATTTTATTCTGTCCAAAATGACTTACAGTTCTCGCTTTAAGTGGATGATTCTTGGAGACCAAGGGAAAACGAATCATACATGACAAATGTTAGCATTTTAAAAGCAATTTGACAGCAATTTAACTTCTGATAAATTCTAAACCTGGTTTTCAGCAATAAAAAATGTATCCAGACAAACGCCACGTGACGAGTTGTACCTGGCGTCCAGGATGCCTTCGTACTCAGCCAGCTGTCTCATAAAACCTGAGTTTGGTCGCGTGATGCTCCTCTTTTGCTTGACAAAGTTGTAGGCCTTCTCTAGAGACCAGTTGTACTCCTTCATAGCGTAGGCAATGACTGTGGAAGCAGATCGACTCACACCCATCTTGCAGTGAACGAGACACTTTGAATGATTCTTTCTGTGATGTAGGAGAAACAATCATGATAAAAATACTTAATTTCCAACTTTTTGACCAGATCAAAAAAGAAAAAACGTAATATCCATCCATCTATATCCACTTATCCGTTACCGGGTCGCGGAAATGTAATATCTTCTTCTCAAATTTGACATTTTCTCTTCGACAATCTGATCTGCTAGACATTAACTTATGAGAAAACTACGACAGCAATTTCATTACAAACATCTACAGCCAGTAATTGTAGCTTCACTACTTCACTCTGACTGCACCCAGACTCACTTTGCTTTCACGATGAAGTTATAAGTGTCATTCCAGTGAGCCAGGAGGTCGGTGGCCTCGTCGTCATAGACGCGTATGTTGTGATAACTAAAAGTGCCTGGAAAAAAGTTGTCAATTTCCCGCGTAACATTGAGAATGTAGCCCACGCTGGGAGGGAAGATAGACACAAGTCAGGTCATCAACAACATTCTTTCTCGCTTAAGTCAAAATAAAAAAATATATCATGCAAGCACTTATCTTAGATCCACTCACCCTGTCTCCTTCAGCTCCTCCAAATTAGAGGCATTCCATTCAGATCCCTTACAACAAATGACAGAAGGCACAAAGTTTAGATTGTATAGCGTTTCTTTTTAACCTCTTCACAGAAGGATGTTTTTACCACAAAAACAATGATGTCAGAAAAAGTATGACCCAGTCTTATTTATTTGGGAGACAGTGACTAATATTTTGGATCATGTTAGAAAAACTATGCCTCACCAGGTAGACGTGGTCAAAGATGAGTGTGGCTTTGTCCATCTGGCCGAGGATCAGCAGCATCTCGTTGTCAATGAATTCTTTGTACTCCTTAAGGTTACAATTCATCTGCTGCTCCAACTCCGTACGAATCTGATTAAATTAAACCTGACACTGACTTGTGTGTTGACTTTTTTTTGTTTACATGTTAAGTAGAAGCGAAATACACAAATACACATAACACACTTTCCATTCTTTTTACATTTTTTAAATATATATAAAATGTAATGTTAACAATTAACAGATGTGTGATAACAAAAGACAACATGTGTAAACAAATATTTTTTGTCTTTTTGAACATGAAAAAAAACATATTTTTTTATCTTTAATAACTTGTTTACTTTAATAATAAAGTGTAAATGCTGCTGCCAAATCTAAAGCACAAGATAGATTTTACCTCTTTGCAGGTGACATTTTCCAGATCCTGACATGTCATGATACTTCTGAGTTTGGCTCTGATAAGGCACTCTGTCCTCTCTCTCTCTGAAGGCCTTAGTAAACACAACAAAGTTAAAATAATAATTAGACTCTGCTTCCTATAATAACTGATAACACTAGTGGGGTCTGTTTACTGACTTGTCGACAAACATAATGGGCGAGTCAGGCCGAGTGGTCTCTAGGTCTTTCATGGTATTCCACTCATTGATGCAGCTCTGCTCTGATGCGATGCAGCTTTCATAGTAGCCCATCCAGGTGAGAGCCATGCCTCCAGGGAAGTAGTTATACCTGCGAGACACCTCACAGGCCTTGTGCAGCACCTGCAGGGCTGACCTTGATACAAAACAGAACAGGATTTAACCTAGATTTTAGAGTTAGAAAAAAATACTTGATTCTATGAGTTCTATGAGTGGAGCAGTTGCAGCCTGGCGGTTAAGTAAATGGACTTGTGTCTGGAAGGTCGCAGGTTTGAATCCAGCAGCCCCACGCAGTGCTCCCCAGGCTCTCAGCTTGAGCTGCCCCAGTTCAACAAGGTGACATTTTCACTTTTTCACTTCACAAGTAAAACTGATTCAAAGGACTTCAATCAGTTCCTTGAACTCTCCTGCCAGCAGGTGGCAGAATGTATTGGCACTGCCTCAACTGGTTGCCTCACTGCAGCAGTGTGCATGTCAGTCAGGAGATTTATATTGTGGTATGTCATGACGTTATAGTGCAAGAGACAGCCACTGAGGCTCCAGAGGTTGTTTATTACTCACCACATAGCCTGCACTGACACGGGTTTGAAGACATGAGTCCGACTGGCCGTGTTCACAGTAAAACCCCTGACAAGCAAAACACAACAGATGGTCATTTACTGTAAAGCAGCATTGAGTGTATATGTCTGTGTGGAACAACTTTACTTGGACTGTTGTACTGTATGGCTCAAGAGTTGGTTTAAGAAGCAGAGACACACGTCATATGTGTGTACGGTGTCTGTTGCAGTGTACTGTACTGTGTCCAAACAATACAACAGAAAACATAACATCATACCCATCACCGTCCAAGTGGATCTTGGTATCACTCCACAGAGGTAGCACCATGCCAATAGAGCAACTTTTGCTGGGGGAAAAAGAAAGAGATAAAATCAAAAATCTGATTTTACTCTGGAAAGCTTCATTTATTAAAACCCACTGTTACTGCAACTAGGTAAAAAAAAGAATACACATTTTAAGTATAAAACAAAATACTCAGTTCACCACTAAAACATTTTTTACCAATAAACAAACCCCTTAGAAGGTTTTAAGTGCTTAACTCATCGACTATTTGCTGAAGTCGGCAAAATTATTTTGGTAACAACATTAGAGGCGTTGGGCAGCATATACCTCATCAATATGCAGCAACCATAATGAATGAAATGTAACATGTTATGTTTATTATGTAATAGGAGATACTTTGCTTAGACTCAAAAATAAGAGAAAAAGATTTTCAAAATAGCACAGAGGGCAGGGAAAACCTGTAGCTACTAAACCCTGACAATAATTCTATAATTTAACACACCCAGATGTGTGTATAGCATAATTAATCTACAGGTGACACAAAGCAAAAAATGCCCTAAGAGTCAGATTTGGTTCAGTCAGTGTAGATACAGAAATGGTATCCAAAATACTTCACACACTGGGTCATTCATTACCAGTCTTTGCTTGTGAAGTCAATTCCCAGGAGGATGTTCTCCTCTGTGTCCTGCCTCCCACTGGTGTAAACCACAACCATGTACCGCACACGATCTGACCATGCACTCTCCAGCCACACTGCCTGCAAAGAGTACACATACAAATGAAAATCTAAAAAAACTAAAAAAAACTAAAACTTTGGGTTGTTGGTTTTGACTTCAGTTCAAAGCATTTGTTTCAATTACATTTTGTTCACAAGAGTATTCACTGATTGAGTCACTGGACAGTTTCCTAAAAAAAAAAGTGCATTGGAAAAGTGCACAGATAATGAGCAATTGTCGAGTAAAACCTGCAGTTATCAACATGCTACATGAACACAATGGAAACATTTGGTAATGCTCACCTGAGTGTGTTCTCACCAGCAAATAATTACAGCAGCAAGTAAGGATCTTAAGTGCACAATAAAATGTATTCGGGGGGTTTGTTTTGCCAGGTTGTTGGCTGCGGTTATTACGAATGTGTGTGAGTGTGTTTTGTACCGAGTTCAGATCATACCAGTTTGATTCTGTCTTCTGAACGTAGAATGTTGATCATCACCTGGAGGTGTTGAGGTAAGTCACCTGTTGAGGTTACAGATCACATCAGTGAATGGGTGAAAATGAGTAGTGGTTGGTTGTTATCTGTGGTTGAACACAGTTCTAGACATTTTTTATTTTAAAAATATGCTAAAACAATAGAGATTAATTAAAATAATTAATAAACGTAATGAGTAGGATAGCTGGAATTACCATGCCTCTGCCGAAAAAATAAAAAGTATGAAACCAGTCATATTGCTGCAGTTTTTGTTAAGGAACCGTAAAGTTACACTGCTCTCTAGTGTTTAAAGGCACAACCAACAACGTCAACACAACAATATGTTGTTGAGGTTATAGGTTGTCTCAGTGTGGTTCAGATTAATTTCTTCTCTTTCTGGCATAAAAACATTACCAGCAGCAGGTCATGCATACAAAACCATGTGTTTGTTCATTGAACATGTGTCAGTGTAATTATCAAGTAATAACAAAATCACTCTCATCCTGCATCTGAACAAAACTAAACTGATTTCACTCTCTCAAGGAATATGCATACTGAGGATAAAATGATAATGCAGTATTAACATCGACAGATTTAGATGCTTCCCTAAAGTATGCGATTTATTGACCCTGAAACAATTCAAAATTTATGCAAACCTTACAACCTGTACAACTTAAAAAAAAAACAAAAAAGAAACAAATTAGTTTTATTTTGCCAATGTTAACATTAAAAAAAACATTTTCGCTCTCTAAAATCCACAGACCGTTGGAAATGGCACTGACGGCATTTCTCCTGCCAAAGTTAAAGAAAATAAAGTCTGACCAGCCAATGTGGGGTTTCCTCTTGACAAAGATGCTAAGTTTAGAGGATCAAGGCTGCCAAACATGAGATGCCAAATGACTTGGCAGCACGTTGGCTCCTGGCTGGTGCTGAATCACACCAAGCAGGTGGCCTGTCAGACCAGCCCAAGTATGTTTTAATTGTGGCATAAAAAACAGCAGTTCTCAACAGTTATATTAATGGTGTTTTTATGCAATAAACAGAACAACAACAATTAGTTATGAGAAACATAATCATCTGATTGTAGTGTTCGCTGTTAAGGGCTGGTTAGTATTTTCCAATAGAATGATGGTAAAATGTAATATATCTGTTATGCCTTACTGGCCTATCAGAAGACAAAAAGACAGAAAAAAACATCACACTGTGTTCGCACAAAATAAATAATATTTCTACACAGATATACTGAATGTTTAAAATGTAATTTTCAGGGTCTTTCCCAACAGTGGTGACTTAGTGGTTAAGGAAGCGGAATTGGGTCCGGAAGGATTCAGGTTAGAGTCCACCAGCTGCTAAGTTACCACTGAGGTGATCTGAGCAAGGCACTGTCTCCACTCACTGCTCCCCGGGCACTTATAAGCTGCCCACTGTTCACTTTGGTGATGGGTTAAAAGCAGAGGTCACATTTCTTTGTGTCACAATGAAAAGGAGTTTACTTTCCTTTAAAAAACAAAATAAAATAAACATGTGGTCCTCACCTGCATGTTTGTGGTGAGGATGTGTTTTCTGGCCTTGTTGACTGCTGCCCTGCTGCAGGAAAAGGGCAGCACCCTTTACCATGAAGAAGCTCTCGCTAAGGCTGCAAAAAAAAGAAAAGAAAGAAAATCAGGAGAAAATATGTGTAACTGGTCTAACAGAACTTTCATATGATGACAGATCACCCTAGTCTGCACCTAATGGACAGCTGAGTGAAAAACAGCTGCTGCAAACAGTAGGTAGATTGATGTAATCAGAGACTCTACAACTGCTCAATAGCAATGTATTGCTTTACTTCCACAGTGAGTCAAAAGCAGTGTCAGTGAACACTGCTTACACCTGCCTGTAAAATTTCTGACTTTTCAGGTAAGCAGTTGGAAGTGACATGAATGACATAATGGAAAGGAGTTGAGGTGTTTCCTCCAGGCTAAACTTATTAATTCCGAGGTAGCCTATTCATAAATCTACCTGACAGCAGGGTGGAATATATGGACAATGTACTCTCTATGTGTTCTCTAGCAACTCAGTGAGCTAGGCCTGCACTGAGAGAGCTACACAGACATCTCGCCTGTTTGAAGAAGGCATCTGTTGAGAATATGGTCGCCAAAAATGGCACACAATGGCAGTGGGACTTCCATCCTGCAGACTCGCCTCATAGAAATGGAGCAGCCGAGGCAGCGGTTAAGCTTATTAAGAGAGCTCTTCACAGCCTTTGTGGATCAACTGGCTGCTACACCTGGGGAGAATTCCAAACCCTTCTTTACTCGGCAGCTAACTTGACTAACGATCGACCTATTGATGCCAAGGCACAGGAGCAGGAAGACGCGGTGGAGTATTTGACTCCTAACTCCCTTATTCTGGGACGTACTGGACTGGGAGGAGATATGCATGGAATTTCACCCTTGGCAACTGGGAGGAGATATGCATGGAATCAACATGGAATTTCACCCTTGGCGGAGGCTGAAAGCTGTCCAAGCTGGAATAGACAAGTTCTGGTCTAAGTGGAGTGAGCTTGCAGGTCCAAACTTGTTCATTCGGCACAAGTGGCACAGAGCGGAGAGGTGCGTCAAAGTTGGAGATATTGTTTGGTTAGCAGACCAGAATGCTCTGAGGGGACAGTTCCGACTTGGCCGAGTCGTCGCTTCATATCCTGATAAGAAAGGGATTGTCCGGGACGTGGACTTGAAGATCTGCATGGGACTTCTCAGCTCCCATGTATCTAGGGTCCGGAAAGAAAACTTTGAATTGCCTACAACCATCGTCCTTCGCAGGGATGTGCGGAGGCTGGTGGTTCTAATTCCAGTTGAGAACCTACAGAAGCAGGATAAGTCCTTGCCAAGGGTTACCTAAGAGACTATGTTGTTTAGTTAGTAGATAAACCTGGGAGGCAACTGAGTTATTAGAGGGCAAACCTACACTCAGTAGGAGGAAAGGTGGTGGTGCCTCCCTCCTTAGTTAGCTTTGTGTTTTCATTGGATCCGTGAGGAGCAACTACCCTTGATGGTTGAGACACTACTGAGAAACTCTAATGTTAATTGTGGCCTCTTTAGATCCTTTGATCAATCGGCCAAGTGGGAGGTGTCAAGACTTTGATGGTTATTTAAAGCGCTTCATTTTATTTTGAAAAGTCAGTGTTACTTCCTGTGCAGTTGTTCACGGCAGGTGTATTCAGGGTTTAACGGAAGCACATAGCCCATTGGTTTATGACCTGTGGTTACCTGTGGTCACCTGTGGTCATTTGAACATAAATAAATAAATAAAAGAAGACCAAGGATAAACACGAGTTATAGCTTCAGTGTGCTTCCTGTTGAGCCTTTTCGGAGGGCAAAATTTTAAAAAATCCGAACATTTGTCTTGATAAATTATAAAAGTAAAAAAAAAAAAAAAAAAAAAAAAAAAAAAAACTGTTTCACTAGCACAAAGTCTGTCTTCAGGTTTGAAATTTTTTAAACAGTAGACTCTCAAAGTTTCATCTGTATACAAAAGTGCAGAACAGGGACAAAGAGATGGCTTTGTGGGAATAATAGATGCTGATTGAACACCTCTCAATGAAATTTCCCCCGCCCCCAGTGTGGAAGGAAACAAAGTCCTACAGAGAACTAAGCATGGGGGTGGACGTTTCTCAACAAGAGCATCTGTCAAACTCTTGACAGATTTTTGCTTCACTTCATACACTGTTCAAGATCTTTGGAACCATCACATGTGTAATATCAAGTAGGGTAAAATGTGTGAGATTTAGGTGTTTTAAATTCAACTGAAATAATCAGTTAAAAATACTACAAACTTCATGAATGGGAATCTTCACAGATCTCCAGAGTTCTGAATGCTTTATATGTTGTCATCTCTGAGGTAGGAGGACGGGAAATCTGACATGTGTGAAACATGTCCTGGTATGTACACCTGAGCAGTGCAGATTCCCAGGCCTTACATTGACTGACATTTAAATACACTACATTGGCTGTATAGCCTGTGGCCTTGCAGCACCCTGCTATCTGTTTCTCCACAAACACTAGACCTAAAAATATATCCAGTAACAAGCACGAGACATAGACAACAAAAACGGCCTAAGAGTTGCAACGATTTGTCATGATTACAACTTACACATTTACAAGCACATTTACCTCTGTAGTACAGAGAGGAAAAAAATGCCAACACTTCAGGACCAGAAGCAGCACAAACACCAACCTCTGTAAACTGTCAGCAGTAGGCAAATAACTTAAAGCTTAGTGGACAAGTTCAGACCATGTTCTTTCCTTAATTTGCCCACTTGTGATAAAGTAATATATGTTTTAAAATAAAGTAGCAACAGAACCCCTCAAGACAAAACTTGCCAAACTTCACTAAAGTGTTCCGTTAAAGTTCTCCATTTTCAAAAGGATGATCTCAACTTACATGCAGTCAATCTGACACTGGGTCAACACAGCATTCTCTACAAAGTAAGGTAGCATCTTCATCACAGCTTTTTGTATGGGTTCTACACCAAGATGCCTCGTTCCAGATAGATCACAGCTCAGGCTTCGGTGGTTGGAGTTACATCCTCTTCCTCATCCTCCAGATACAGCAAAGCAGTAGAGGTGTAAGGCATTTCCCGGTCACCTTTGAGTGCCAGGTTGACTGACAGGCTGAACGACAGTCTCTACTCATCTGTGTTCCTCAGCCAAAGAGCCTCATCTACTCCAACACCACACCCTTTGCTCTCTTCTTCTAATCTCTCATCTGAGCGTCTCCGAGTGCGAGTCGAGACTCCTGCCTGGAGGGAGAAACTGCAGACTCCACCCACTGCTCCAGGCACATACAGCTGTGCTTGTCTCTCCTTGTCTCAGTCTAATTGTCTACAACAGACCGAGATGATGCCCATATGCTGTTGTCATTACATCCTTAACTTTAGACTCCTCTCCACTTTTAGATAATGATCTGATTTTAGCAAGTACCTGGACCTTCATTATTTAAGGATTTTTGTTTATTTCAAATTTTGTCATTGTACACCATCTGCAACATTGTAATCACAGGTTCTTTGAGAGTGTTGTCACCGTAAATCACATGGAGGAAAGCAAGGCTAAGTTTACAGTTTTACCCAGGAGATAAGCAAGAAAATAGGGATGAGGATTTCACATTAAAGTGTAGTCTTCTCATTGATAGCACTGTCGATGGTACCCAGGGTAGAAAGGGAACATAGCCTAGTAGTTAGGTTTGTTGTATGCCATACAAAGATCCCAGGTTTTAATACATTTAACACAACCTCCAATTTGAGTGGAAACAGTTGTGTAAAAAACTTTGACAAATCAAAAGATTACACCTACTGTGGTGACAACCCCAGATGATGGGACAGGTTGAAAATCACTATTTGCTGAGTAACAAAAAACAACAACAACAAAAAAACAAAGGTGTCTGTTCATTGACCACAAATAAACTCGAGTAGAAAGAGGAAGGAAAAAAAGTAGAGCAGTATAAGCCTCAGTGTTTAGGCTGCTACGATGCATGGCCACTAGGCTCCAGCAAAAAGATGTTTTTATTGATAATAAACAAAGTATGCTCAAAACTTAACAGGTGTGAAAACACACCAGTAAAACCAGGTTCTTTGAACAGAGAACGTGGGACTTTTGGATATGGTTTCCTGGTCCAAGTAATCAGACAAAGCGGACATCACGTTCTCTCTTACCATCTACAGCTCAAAAGAAACCATATTTCCATGTGAGAGTACAGATTCCTTGGTCTTCCTGGGGAAAAGTAAGACCCTATGCACAATTGCAGGAAGAGAAAAGGGCAGGCTGAAGAATTTTGGCAACTCTCTTAACGGGATGGCTCTGTGTGCATGCCACCTTGTGGGTCAACAGCATCCAAGGTGGTGCTTCCAGGGAGCTTAACACTTAGGCCAAGCATGGCTGGACAGGGCAGTGAGAACTGGCTATTACCCAGATCTCCTGAATCTCATTAGAGACGGGCTTATAAAGGAGGGGTCATTTGGTCTTTATCTCCTTAAAGTGGCCAGGACTGGATGTCATGCCAAAAAACAGAGGACCATAAACACTATGACACTATGATAAATAAATGATGAATAAATGCATCCTGCAGCCACTATCACTGTGAATAAAAGGAGTACTAGAAAGTTTTTTTGGATTCATTAGAAAGTTGTGGGTTGAGATGTCATTTAATCCTGAAGAACAGGAGATATATAGTAGTTCCCCAAAACAGCTTAACATGTCAACAGCATATACAGGTGGTGGATATGCAGCTTACACAAACAAGGAAAGAAAGAACAAAAAGGTGTCAAGTCACCATATCAAAGCAGTTTTCTTCTGCAATAGTAGTAAAATCTACCTTGATAGGACCAAACAGAAACAGATCCAATCAACAGTCCTAAAAACCGACTGTTGTTTGAGAGGTGTGCTCCTGATTATACAAAGAAACAACTGCTTCGGTGAGCTTCAGAGTGCCTTAGGGAATCACTTGCATACAGTACTGTGTTTTCCACTTGTCACAAGAAAGAACTAAAGAGGTGAAGAGACAACATCAAATATCCCCAGGTGGCATAACATCTAAATATAAAGCTAGTTAAAAGTCAGGTAATTTACTAAAGTGCCACACCGGGAGAAGGGTAGTCAAATCAAACATAATTTTGGTGGACCTTCATCATGTGTTTACACTGACTTGTGGACTTCAATTGATTTATCTGTGTTTATTAATAGATATTTACATTAGCAATCGAACTGACTGTGGTTCAATGTGTATAGAAATTTACATGTTCCAATAAAAAGGTAATTTTACCTTTGATTTGTGCGTCGTTCATCTTCACTCCCTAAATCCTGCAAAATAAATAATAGGAAAATTATTGAATCATAATGGAAAAACATTTAAACACTTTTGAGATGATTACTGAATAACTACTGACACGTTCTTGGTACTCATGTTTTTTGTTGCGGCACATTGTGCACATTGCTTTATAACAAAATTGCACCCGAATCACCCAATATTGATAATTTCAATTTCACTTATATTCTTCCTAATATCTAAATAAAGGTGTGTTAAACTACAGAGTGTAGGTTTTAAAGTAGTCACCTTTAAAAATGTAAAGGCCTATTTCCCACTATGTTGCTAACAAGCAGCCATACTCGTATAGAAAGGAAACATCTGCCAAGATGACTATGATAAAAGTGTCAAATGTCTTACGTCACTAGGATTTTATTCACACTGCATGGATGATTCAACAAACAACCGCTGTAATGTAAGTTAAAAAAAAACAACTATTCTCCACTGACACATGACATTGTTGTTAGCATACTGTTAGGTCTGTTTGATTGGGTTTATTCAGTGAAGTTATCTTAAAAGTGGACCATGTGCCTGCATTTCACCATCTCCAAATACTGTAACTCTCCTCTTACTCAACGACACTTGCGCTGCTCCACCAAACCCACCTCTCACAAAAAGATGACATCATAGCTGCAGCAGCTTCTTCTTTACCCATCCCATTAACTGTGACGCTGTCAGACTTCACTGACCACAAGAATAAGACCCAGTTGGTCAAAAGCAAGTCAAGCATAACAGCAAATAAATGAATAATTAAATGAATGAATCAGACGAAGGAATGAAATAATTAATAAAAGGAATCCTGTTGCTGCAAGTGCCAGCAGAGTAAAGGGCACTGACTTTAAAATATGTGTTTTGGAAAATATTTGGAGCTTGTGAACTATAGTTTGTAAATAAACACAAGCACAGATGTCAAGCCTGTTTTCTCTGTTTTGGTACTGCATTGAATAACACAAACTGGCTTTTGACCCGGAGATAGCGCCCTCGTCTGACAACTTTATGTAAAAACACCAAGAAAAAGGTTCTATGTTTGCGCCGGCAGACTTACTATTTTGCAGTCAGCAAAAACAATATTAATTAATTCGTTTAATAAAAGTAAAAATAGCTTATTTTGCACTTGAATTTACTGACGGCTGCCGAAAAACTGATAAAAAGGATATAATAAAACGTTAAGTTTAAAAGAGATTTACAGACGTTGCAGAAGGAAGACATTTTATATTCCAATCTTTCGAGTTATAAACAAAAACCGAGTTTAAATCTCAGGAAATTGTTTGTTGACGAAGTGTGAGAGAAAAGTAGGTTCAGTCGTTGCATTTCAGTGCTATTTCAGGCAATTTCCAAGAGAATTATTGTTGCTTCTGTCCAGTGCTTCAGTTTATTGTCACAAAACGAAAAGTAATCTGTAAACTTCTCATGTACACATCACAGAAGAAGTAATCCCTTTTTTTGGACTTCAGTTTAGCGCACCAAGGGAACTGTGATTTATATAGTTTTGTACCAAATAAAACGCAGCAGCTTTGTTTTAGGTGTAAGCCTTTTCCTAAAGTAAAGCTACAACTACGTTAAAATTACTATTTCTTTAAAACGTTACATATAATATTCAATGCCAAGCGGTAAAATCATAAACAGACAACGCCAGCCACAGCTAATACTACTGATAAGACTGCTTGAAAATCAGCATATGTAACAAAAAATTAAGAAGAATTAAAAATTAAGAAAACAAATGTTGGTATGTTGTTTGAACAAGACAAAAATGCAGGAAAATGTACATCCAGCTAACCGTATCCCAGGCGCTCGTTAGCCACCTTTAGCTCAGAGCCTAGCATAACACGTAAAGTAACCGCGGTGCTGAAGGAGGTCTAGATTCATTCAGCGGCCTTTCTACACCAGCATCTATCTTAATGTACCATTGTTACAAGTTAGGCCTAGACTTAAACTCACCTCCCCAGCTGCTGTGGTTGCTGTGCTCCCCGTGGAAGCTGCACTCGGGGTCGGTGACCGCTGAAGAGTAACCAACGCCATGGCTGGAAATGAGGACGATAACGATGATGATGATGATGCACCACCAGCCGGAGCTGCTGCTGCTGCTGCTGCTGCTGCCGCTACCCGCTGAGGAGCTAACAGAAGGGTGGCTGGAGAGAAGTGGGGTGGAGAGAGTGACATCATGCTGCAAGGAATCATGGGACGATACGAGATGGTATTTATAACCAAAATAATTGAGTCACAAAAAAATAAAAAATAAAAAATAAAACAAAATAAAATTGTGCAGCGTAAATTCACATGATATCTGGAGCATCTTAGTAACTTACAACATTATAACATGCAGAAGCCTTCAACAAGGTGTCCACGACTCCTACGGGAGTTACTGCAGGGGGCATGAAATAATTGGTTGATTACACATTTTATTTATAGATTTTCTTTCAAGGCCACCATTCTCACTTTGTTATATATATATATAACATTAGAATGTGGACCTGTGGATTATATGAATAATTTTGAACTAGATCCCAATTTATCCCAAAGTTTATTTGTTGCAATTAGCCCAAGATAAATATAATATATACTTTAATAGTATTATATAATATATACTTTAATAGTATAATATAATATATTTTAATAGTATATATTGTACTTTTTTATATTATATTTATATATTATATTTATACTTTTTTATTTTATATTGACCCAAATCTTGCACAGGATACCCAATTTGGTTCCCTATACAGTGCCTTTTTTTGGCACACAAAATTGTACTAAATATGCATAATATCATAAGCTAGATCCAGGTCTTGTGTGCATACAATGCATTTTTGCACAGCAGTTACACTTTTAAACAGGAAACAGGAATAATAACTTGCAACCACATCGTGCAGCTAGAAATCAAGCAGTAGTATAAAGTGTGCATGAGATAAAAGTAACATATTTATGACTTTAAGGGCCTCATAAGATGGAGTTTTCAGCTTTATTATCTTTGAGGGCAAATTCCCATTTGCACTTACTTATTGTATTATTTAAGGTGCGTGTCAGGGTCAGAGATCAAATACTGACAAAGATCAAACAAAGAGAAAAACAATAAATGGATAAAGGTTGGCAAGGTTCCTCAAAATGATAATAGTTACAGTTGAGTAATCAGATAGCAGAAGTGTTGGGGGATTAAGGTGATATGTTTTCATTCTGATTCATTGTTAGTGTACAAAATTGTATTTGATAAATATTACTATAGTGCTTTTATTTATTTAAAAGATATTTTAATGCATTTATTAGAAAATACATGAATCCAAAACTGTAACTTTGGTAATGCATCTGAATCCAATATGTAACTTCAATACTTTTCAGTCTTTTCACAACATAAACTTGATCAGTTTTCAAAACATTACTTTTGAAAATATCCAAATCTAGTCGAGTCTTTTGAAAATGTATTTACACAATTTGTAAATCGAAGAAAACGGCAACTCCACTCGGACAAACTGAATTCAAGCAAAACAGTAGTGCTTTACGACCGGTTTGCGCATGCGCTAGGCTTTGCCACAAATCGCCACAAACAGCGCTCCTGTCATCGCGTTGAGGAAACCAACTACACAGCAAAAGTCTGTAGTTGTTGCACATTATTGTTTAACAAAATAATGTATGCTATAGCTACATTAAACATAGTCACAGTATTCGCTAAATATTACATAAAGTAATATTTTGTAATTCAATTTACATGCTATTGTCTCTGGCTGAAACCTTATTTATTTATTTATATACATACATTATATACATTAGCTGTAAACTAATTTTGCCTTAGAGATAATGTGGTATACAATAGTATATGCAAAGAATTCAATAATAACAATACATGTGATAACACGATAAACGTAACAATGTAAATTTATTCTGATGTCTTTTCTTACGTGTTTATAAGGCTTTCCTGTTTCTGGAACCGTCCATGCTTTATAATTATTTAATTAATTTATTAAACATTTCAGATGTTACCGTACATTTTACAAAGATGCATGTTTCATATTTCCACAATTACAGATGCATTTTGATACAATCATTTAAACATATATTCAAATATGGAAATATATATAAACTGTCAAACAAAATACAAAAAAAGCATATAAAACAATATAAACAACTCGAATCTGTCAGGGAGATGATTAACGTATCAAATATGCTTAAGTTCCAATGAAGTTTGTCCAAGTGGATTTGCCATCCAAGATAGCTCCCAATTTGCGCATGTGCAAATGGTAGCCACATAGATCAGGCAAACGAAGCAGATCGTGTAGTGACACTTACGAACTCGAATTTGAGTCTCAGTTGATTTGACTTCGTAAACGAATATTTAAAAGGCCGAGCGCTCTTCGACTTCCTGTGGCTGAATACAGGTTTGGAGGTAAAGTTGAACTTTTATCCTCAAACGCATTATAGAATAATGTGTACAGTATTTCTATGTTGTTGTATGAAACTGAATTGCACTTTTTTACAATTTTCAGGCGATTCGTTGCGTAGTAGTTGTTACGTAACTCTTCACAGCTTCTTCATTAATAAAGTATGGAAGAGTTTGAAGCTACAGGAACGATGGGATTGACATCATGCATTCAATTAACGCCAAATAAAAGTTTTCTTTAAAGTCCTCTAAAATGAAGAGTTGCTCCTGGTAGAAATATTTACTGTGTTGCCTTATTTGATCATTTTCGGTGTTCGTACGTTAAAAATACTCTTAGTTTGCACTTTGTGGTAAAGTTTATACACTTAAAATGTCAAGTTTATGCACTGTGTTATAGCGTTTACCTCCGAAACATTTATACCTCGTGAATTAATACAGTTACATATACCGTCCTTCCTTATGTAAGCATCTCGCCGGTATATCAGTGTCAGTTTAAACCAGGCATGTCCAAACTATTGCAAAAGGTCCGAGTGGCTGCAGGTTTCTTTTCCAATTAAGAAGTAGCTCTTTAGAATAGACACATTTAATCAACTGATCTCAGTATTCTGATTGCTGATTGGTCAGACTGTGTGCTCTTGGTTGGTTGGAACAAGCAAGTGTTTGTTTTTGTATAAAACCACAATTGTCATTAGGCCTTTATTTATTCATTTATTTATGACATTTTCACTGTGGTAATTTTTTTATTATTATTTCTAATTTTACTATTATTTTATGCCTGTATTTCAGGGATGTCCAAATTTTTTTGGGTGCGGGCTAAAAACAGCCCCCCGGCGAAAGACTTAAGTATTATTATTATCATTACTGTTATTGTTGTTGTTCGTCTCATAGTGCCGACGGACATTATAATCCTTCATCACGGCAACATCTTCATGGCAAATCAAACAGACACACTTTCCGTTGATCTCTTTGAAAAAATATTCATTTTCCCACCGTGTTTGAAATCTTCTGCACTCACTCGCTATCTTGCGTTTCTTCGGTGCTGCCATTTTGGGGACTGGTGTTAATTGTTTTTCTTTGCTTAATTGTGTTTAGTGAAGAAGCACCTTTTCTGACTGGCTCCATCTAGTGTTGAAACTGAGAAGTGCAACAGACTTGAGCTCAAGCGCCATGTGCGGGCCATATTCAATTATATTTTCAGAACTTTTTGCGGGCCAATAAAAACTGCCCCGCGGGCCAACTGCGGCCCGCGGGCCGTAGTTTGGACACCCCTGCTATATTTCATATTCATATAGTCATGGAAACTTGCTGTCAAGTCATGGGAAATCATGGAAATTCGTTGGTTAAAATGTGTATGAACCCTGCATTTTCAACAATTCAAGTACAATGTCACTTAAATGTTATTAATAATTAATTTAATATATACAATCATATTATACAATCTTATAAAGAACCCCTTCCCTTTTGTGTATCAAAGTACAATCAATGGTACAGTCAATCTTGCACTGTATTAAAAAAGTAACAGCAGTGTACTATTTATGTATATGTTTTCACATGTAAAGATGTACTTGGTAGACCATAAATTTATGATTATTATGTATTGTGTCCCATGTTCCTGCAGCAATGCGTGTGGCAGTGATTGGAGCAGGTGTCGTTGGGCTGGCAACAGCTCAGAGCATCTATGAACAGTACCATTCAACTGTAAGACCTCTGACCATTGATGTGTATGCTGACTGTTTCACACCACTGACCACAAGTGATGGTGCTGCTGGGTTCTGGCAGCCCTACCTGTATGACAAAGGCAATGCCCAGGAGACGTAAGTTCTTTCACCTCAGTGGTACTTCTTTACCTGTACATGACTGAGTCAGAAAACGTGACTTTTTGTGTCACACTTTTCCTCACCTTCAGAAAATGGAATAAAGAGACATTTGATTACCTGCTGAGCTTCCTCAATTCTCCACAGTCTGTAAGGATGGGTATATTCCTGCAGTCTGGATACAACCTGTGCACAGAACCAGCTCCCGTGAGTAGAACTTGGTTGTTTGAGAATGTGCAGTGGAACTGAGCAGGTAGAGCTCACACTCTGAAAGGCAGAGACAAAAGAAACAAAAGATGATTGTCATTTTTAATTCCTGGTCTACACTTTTTATATCATAGATAAAAAAATCAAAGTCAATCAATCAATTAGTCAGAAAATAATCAGCAACTCTTAACACTTCAATAACCCTTCAGATATTAACAATTCCATTTCCATTTAAATGGATGGAAAGTGTCTGTGTCTCCTATTATGTCACTGATGAAAACGATGTGATGGAAGAAGTTGACATATTTACTCTTGTTCACACTGCAGCTGACAATAACCAGCTGTGTCTACTGTTTAATCACACATTGAAGGACAACTTGTCAAAACTTTTGTTTTTAAGTTGGATTTCTGTGTTCTGTGTGGTGACAAGGTTTGCTCTCCATCATTCTTGGCAGGAACCTTCATTCAAAGACATTGTCCTGGGCTTCAGACAACTCACAGAGCGAGAGCTGCAGATGTTTCCTGGATACACGTACGTTCTGCGTGTTACCAATTGTTTTACCTACACTTGAAGATAAAGTGCTGTGGTAATCTTGACAATCACAGGCTTTTATTGTGATTAAAATAATAATAATAATAATTATTATTATTCTTAAATATTATTATAAAAATAACTTATTATCTTTTCTGCTTGCGTCCAGATTTGGATGGTTCAACACTGCCCTCATGGTCGAGGGTAAATCCTACTTGCCCTGGCTGATGGATTGGTGAGTAGATACTGTGTTTTTGTTTCACCACAGTTATTTAAGCAGTTTCAAGTGTGAACAGACTATGAGCTGAACTCTGAACCTCATCATGCCACTGGTTTTGAAGTAGTGTTTATAGGCCAATAAAGAGTAGAGACTTTGTCTTCAGTTAATTGGTCTATAAATGTATTATTTATAGGCCAATGAACAGACTTTGATTGGTATAAAATTCTTTGACTAAACATTAACAGTCCTCAAGCCTGAGGTCAGTTATTTGATCTGTTGAACTGGCTGAGTGAGATGAGGAAGCAATGCAGAGGACAATAACAGCTGTGTTGGCCTCACTTCTTGACTACTCCTCACTCCCCCCAAAACAAATTATGAGTCAGAACAGATGCCAGGAGACTGAGAGAGTTAAATGACTGTCTTTGAATACAAATCAGTCAAAACAGGTGTTATTTCTGCTGCATGTGCAAGTGGCCATCCCCAATGTCCTGACATCACTGCAGTGACAGATTTTGAGGTGAAATGACGAAACAATTGTGGGATGGATTTGATTTAATTATTTATTATTATTTATTAATTTATTCCTAATGTAATGTTATACTTTAGTGGCCACAAAAAACCAGGTGCATGTAGGTTTACTTTCAGCAATGTTTTCACCGTGACTTTCCATTGAATTAACATTTATCTTATTAAAGTTGAGTTCCAGTTAATTAACCAATTTTTTTTTGTTTGTTGTTGTAGATAAAGACAATTTGGTTAAAATCAGAGTCATCAAACTCTTATCCTTAGGTATACGATTGTTGCCTTGCAAGCTTTACTTAATGTCAATTAAAGAAGATTAAACACAATTATATAGGGAATATAAATAAACAAAAACCTTTTCCGTAGCAGTTTCCAGGGCTACAAGTTGTTATTGTTTGCAGGTTGGAGACACGAGGGGTTAAATTTCACCACAGAACAATAAAGTCCTTCAAGGAGGTTGGTTATTTTTTAGAGATTTAAAATATTGTTGTTTATTTACACTACTCTTCAACTTGCCTGTTGAATCTTCCTGTATGTCACTGATCACCAATGTAGTTGGCAGATATGGGGGCAGATGTGATTATAAACTGCAGTGGAGTGAGATCAGGAGATCTTCAGCCAGATCCAGATCTGCAACCAGGCCGCGGTCAGATAGTGAAGGTGAGAGTGATCAGGTTGCATTGTCTGTTTCTATTTAATGTAACCAACTTTAACATTATGGCTGGGGAAACTACAGGGGTTGGACAATGAAACTGAAACACTGGCCACTTTAGTGTAGGAGGTTTCATGACTACATTTGACCAGCCTGGTGGCCAATCTTCATTGATTGCACATGCAACAGTAAGAGCAGATTGTGAAGGTTCAGCTAGCAGATTAATAGCACAGTTTTGCCTAAAATATTGCAATGCAAACAACATTATGGGTGACATATCATGGGTGGAGTTCAAAAGAAGATAAATTGTAGGTGCACGTCTTGCTGGCACATCTGTGACCATAGCTTTTTATACGTCACAAAGGCTCTTTGTGACGTATAAAAAGCTATGGTATCCAGGGTAATGTCCGCATACCAACAAGAAGGATGAACCACTTCCAACAGGAGTAACTGTGGACGCAAGAGGAAGCTGGGTGCTAACCCGGATTGTATCCAAAAATCATAAAACCACAGCTGCCCAACTCACTGCAGAATTAAATGTGCACCTCAACTCTCCTGTTTCCATCAAAACTGTCCATTGGGAGCTCCACAGGGGAAATAAATATGGCCGGGCTGCTATAGCTAAACCTTTGGTCACCAGTTGTTTCAGTTTCATTGTCCAACCCCTGTATGCGTTTCTGTCGTTCAGGTAGAGGCTCCATGGCTGAAGCATTGGATTATAACTCACGCTTTTAAGGAAGGACACTACAACTCTCCGTACATCATTCCAGGGTAATATCTATCTAACTCCCAAAGTGTATGAGGACTGCAGCTCCTTTTATTGAGTTTCACAAGTACTGGGCAGTTGTTTTTTTGGTTAAGTTTTACTCCCAGGTCAAAGTTCATCCGATTCCCATACTTGCTGAGAAACAGACCTCATCCTTTATTTACCTACATAGTAAAAAACCTTATAGGGGTACCTACTCCTGTCAAGCAGACCATTATTTAACACACTTAGATAACAGTTTATGGTTCACCACACTTTGGTTTAACACACTTTGGTAACTAACTATAAATTCTATTTACATAGATGTAGCCATATCGACCATGAGCTGTCCTCGAGTTGTAGTTCAAAGAATTATTTTGTCTGCAGGAGTCGTTTGGTGACGGTTGGCGGTTGTTTTCAGATCGGAAACTGGAGTCAACAAAACAACTCTGTCGACCATAAATCAATCTGGGAACAAGCATGTAAACTGGTGCCCAGTCTCCAGGTGAGCATGTGTTAAAATGCTGCTGTTCCAGTATTCGTTGTTCACGTATTACTGTGTGTATACAAAGGTAATAAGGTTGTAAACTTTCTGCACCATCATGGTTATGCAGATTTTCACTAAATTACACTTGCCTTTATAATACATTTTTTACATTCTTTGTTTTCCTATAGAATACTCAATGATATTTATGCTTTCAGTTACCCCAGGGCATAACCACGCATGACCCTGGTTTTCTATATATAAAATTGTTGTCTTTGTACTGTATTGTGTCATGATTTAAAACCGGTAATGACCCAAAATGCAGGCTCAGACGACGGTAGGTGAGAAATAAGGATTTATTTTGCTGTGGGAGAAAAAGGGGAAGGAGAGGGTCCGATAATGAGATGGACGAAAAGGCTGAGGTAAGGCAGTGGAGGAGGCACAGAGTGTAGGCTGTCCAGAGATGTTTGGTGGAGAGCAGGTAGCAGGAGGTGGACCACAGTGGCTGAACAAATGATCTGACAAGGAGTGGGAGAAAGGCCAGGATTTTTATGCAGTCAGCGTGATGAGTTCATTGAAGGCAGGTGCTGAGGAACGGCAGGTGTGCTTCGGTGATTATCCAGGCAGGATCAGGGAAATGTGCCACGCCCACCACACAGACAGAGACAAGTGCACAACACAAGAATGGAGAAAACAAAGGGAAACACAGGGAACGACTGTCATCGTGACAGTATTGTGTCACCTTGACCTGTCCTGCTGTGGTTATCTCAGACTTAAGGGTCAGGAGTTGCATTTCTAGCTGAATTACGTTGTAACTGTAATTTGTAAAAAAAATAATAATAATAATTAAGAATGTCCTTTAAGAAAATGATCAAATGTGAAAAGGGAATGGCTTGATTTAACATCATTTAGCCAAGGAAATCTTGATTTATAGACTTTTGGGAAGGCCAAATGAGCCTTTGGGGCCTGTTTTATATACAGTAAATAAATATACCGTATATTTATGGATGTATAGAGACAGACCTACTGTGAATCGACTGTGGCGGTGGTCACGGCTTAAACATCTGTCCTTTGTCTAACATCAGCATGCCAGGAAAATGGAGGACTGGACCGGCCTCAGACCTGCTAGAAGCAAGGTACGCCTGGAGAGGGAGCTCATTTTTGATGGTGCAACTAAAATGGAGGTAAAGTAGGATTTTATTGAGGGAGTAAAACAAAACAATAACAGTATTAGCCTTTTAATTTAATACTTTGTGTGACAATCAGGTGATACACAACTACGGCCATGGAGGTTATGGACTCACCATTCACAGAGGATGTGCTGAGGAGGCAGCAAGGCTCTTCGGGGAGATTGTTGCACAAAAAGGCCGTGGTGGAAAAGCTCGACTGTGAATTGAATCCATGGAATATTAGAAAGGTTGCATTACAAGGATATTGCTTCCTTCAATCTTAGGCACAGTATTTGTCTCTGTAAGAGTCAAGCGAATGCTTACAAATCATTCTTGTTATTTCTTAACTTAGAGATTAAAATTTGAATGTTTTATTAACTGTCAATCAGTTTATCTGTATGTGACAGTAGAAGCACAGCTAATATCATTTATTAATTAATCTATTTTTTTATTTTTTAACAGTTAATATTACATTAAATTGTTAATGGCTAAGTCTCCAGCCTATAAAGGCTGGAGAAAATACTCAAATACACAAACTCTGTCTGTACTGAACAAACCCAGTAGTCCAACCATAACTGGCCGTGTCTTTGCATGTTGGGCCCATCAATGTCAGGACCATGTGAAAGGCTTGTGTTACTCAGTGCTGCCAGATACTTAAAGTATCAGGTGGTTTCTACAGTAATAATAGAAAGCAGCTAAAATTGTGGTGAAGAGCATGATGAAGAAAAAAAGTTCTCATGATTTTTCTCAGAACTAAGTGGAAGAACCAGAACCAAAGCCTTTCCCTTTGTGTTGGTTTGTTCTATCTCACCTTGAAGTGTATGTACAGTAGATGTGTGGTTGAATACAGAAAGGAAAAACAGTGCAGTATTTGAAACACGATTTGATTTAGTAGAGGAACAATCACTTGAATGAACTCACTCACAATACGACCAGGTTGACCAAGGTCTTGCACGTCATATTTGTACTAGACAAAAATAAATATAATAGGTTTTAATACACAATTCACAATTAATACAAATGACAGAACTTAGCTTTGTGCTAAATGTTGTAGTCGGTTAGGTGCAGAGACACACAGGAGAGAGAAACACGGTTTATCAGACACTGCACCCAAGACTCTTTCGCAACTCTGATTTAGAAATACCTTTGGGTCATAAAAATACCAATTCATTTTTTTTCTAATCAGATTTGTTTATTGTTTACAATCTGTACTAATATAGATGTGATTTTAATGTCATGGTATTTTAATAATGACGCGCTCAGTTATAATGCGTGTAATTTGCGTGTAATTTTTTGTTAATAAATGAAATATTGGTCAAAATACAACTTCTAGTTCTCAGTTTTTGCTACTTTTTGTTACTGATGAACAGGCAATTAGTAAGCTGTGACTTGTGTTGATGCAAATGTCTTGCAGTTTAAAACTCGAGCCACTTGGTTGCAGTGTTGTCCTGTATCTGTAGGCTACGTGGCAACCTTAGATGTGTGGGGATTAATGTGACAAGATAATAAAGTATTACGTCTGACTTTTTTTCCATCAATCTCTAAAAGAAAAGGTTACTCGGTTGTCATTAAATCATGCCAGGTGTCTATGAAAAGAGAAAAATAACTGTAAATACATAATGTTGAGTGGCCTTTGTCCTCCAGACGATATGTCTATGAGTCCCCTGGTCTACACCAACGTGAGAATTACTACTAGCTCAAGATTTGGAATCTAATGGTCACAGGGGTTTTAAATCTCTGACTCAATGTTTAGTGCGTTTGCAAGTTTTGACCTAGAGCTTGACACTTTGTCAAATGATCAGTTGATAATGTTTGTGCAGCTTTTCCTCTCCAGAAATGCATTTTTTTTAAAAGCTGAGCTTGTAGTTGTATGTGCACTTATCGATGTGGTTATGTTGAGAATGCAAATAAAGCAGGTTCTTCACTAAGTGTTGGTCAGTTTTGCAACCATAAAATGGATAGGTAGTTTTAAGGCTTATTGAAAAGAAGACAATTGCTTGCAGCTACATCTTCTCACAATCATGGCCTCCATCTTCACTCTGTCATTCTCTATCTATCATTTCTTCAGGTCACTTCTGTTTTCTTTTCCAGTCACCCTGTCTGCACTAATACTGTGGAAACCTGTGACAGCAATGGCAGTTGTAACCTATAATTACTGTGACATGTAAAACGATTGTGCTGCCTGGCTCATAGGGTCATAGGGAAGGACTGGAGATGGACACAGAGCTTGTTTTTCTTTTTGATGCCACTCCCTGCAGTTCCTCTCCATTGTGGTCGCCTATGCGGAGATGCAGTTGGCTTCATCTCAGCCCTGGGAGGCAGAGTGTGGAATTCTGCCTGAGGCCCGGCCCATCATCTCCTGACCCCACTCACGGTGGCTGGACTCCTGCAGTCCCCGGCCTGTTGTCTCAATCGGCAGTGCACAGGAAGCTATGGCAGCGAGCAGGCAGCAGCAGCAGTACACTGACAGAGCCAGATACACAGAGGACTCCAACATAACCTGCAGGATGGAGAGGTCGGGCATTCAGGAATATTAGATTAGTTGTAGCACCACCCGCCCTGCGGGCGGGGCTATAAACCACATTTTAATTAGTTCAGTAAACAATTATTCTATATGAATGCTATCTTTTAGCAACCTTCTACAATACTTTAGGGTTTCTACAATATATCAAGGGTTCGATACTTTCGATTGCCTGTACAATATCTAGTAGACAATATGCAATATCGTGTACAAGAAGTAAAGTCAGGGCTTGTAAATAATCAAAGCAGGATAGGCCAAGCTGATGTCCTCTTTTTATGAGTGTATTACTCCATCATATTAGGTTTTCTCTGTAACATGAAATAGATTAAAAGTTTTATTTTAGCCTTATTTTTAATACATAAACCACAAAACATTACATCTTTGAGAGATATTAGATATTAGGGAAGAGCTAAAAAGATTTTAGCTGTATAATATAAAACAAAATGTTTTGCATTCTTTGAGTTGGACTACTGCCACCTACTGAGTATTTTATCAACTAGTAAACAGCCCTGCTGTACAAAAGATTCTGACAACTCCAGAAAAATGGAAAAGAGAAAGAGAGAAGAGAAGAGAGAACACACCACCATACAGTCATAAAATGATGGGGCTATTTTTGTAAGAGTCTGTGTCCTTTAGACAGTTGTTGGTTTCAAAACCTAAAACTGAATGTTACCTGTGCAACAAATGGCGTGATGAGAGCTCCAACTCTGGCCATTCCACTGCTGGTTCCCAGGCCTAAGGCTCTGGTTGCTGTCGGATACACCTGAAGAGTTCCAGAGAAGATGTTTATCTCTGTTGGTTGTTGATGTAATTTACTGTGGATGATTAGCTGTTTGCATATTATACATTACAAAGAAATCACTACAGTGTAACTACTGCGGCGTGCCAACCTCGGGAGTGTAAACGTAAGCAGCTTGGAACCCTCCTGCGATGAAGGCTCTGGCGATGAATATCAACACTGTCATGGATGTTCTACAGGAGATTGACCCATGCCAATTAGAGTTGGTAAACACAAGGTTCAGAATCTATTAGCTGTTCTAAAAATAAAAGTGAGGCGCATTACCTCCCGACACATCCGTAGAGCGGAATGATGCACAGGGAGAAGACGAGGAAACACAAGGCCATAGTTTTTCTCCGGCCCAGTCGGTCAATAGCCCACAGTGTCACCAGCAGGCCTGCACAACACACACAAAACATGTGACTTCACTCAGGCTAGAGTTTTATCAAATAAGAAAAACCTTGACTGTGATCTTAATAACAAATTTTACTAGATTACTAGATTGGTACCAGTATTGTTTTATTGACACATTACCCTGCTTTATTGCTTTGTCATCTCAACAGGTGTTTACATTAGACACAATGCAAAAGATGTCTTTTTAGAGATTTTATTTGACCCAAAACATTGTAATATATGCTGTGTAAAATTTATGGATCAGCATGATGATGGAACATAAGTAAGATTTCATCCTATTCCTGAGAAATATATCAGTTATTTTATCACTCAATGTTTTTGATGCTTTGAAAAAAGGATATTAAGCCTAGTGAAGCAAAAGAAAACAGAATTACTGCAATAAAGTAAATATAAAACATTAAAAATATTTTTTACAGTTTAGTAATTGAAGTAGTTGAATTTGCTTTTTTAAGTTTTATTACTAGTGCATGGCCTAGATTAGTAAATTATTAAGCAGTCCAAAGAACAAAAATACAATAACAGAATGTGGATAGAATTTAGTTTTTTAAAATGCCCTTTAATGTCTGGTTTACAGAATATTTCCTATACGCCTATACCTGGGAATTCAGATAACGTTGTCCACAGTAGATCTTTGTAGTCATCAGAGTTCAGGTATTTACACTCCAAGCTACACTGTGGCTCCATCTTATTGCCTTTGGACGCTAGAGGTGAGAAGGAGAGCGGAAGGAGAAAGAATGTAGATTAGGTTAAAAAAAGACAGAGATGAAGGGGAGGGGGATAAGGAGAAGAGGATAAGATGACGAATGTGGAAGGAGAGAAAGGGAAAGGATACATTAACACAACAAATACGCTTATATCATAGTCTTATATACTGTACATACTGTATGGCATGACTTACTTCCACATGCCCCTCCCTCCTGAAACAGCTCTGTTGTCAGAAGAACCAGACCATAGTAGGAGAATGCATTAGCAAACCTAAGGAGAGAACAGGTGTTATTTATGCCAAAGTATGAAGTCATTGTCCGTTGCGCTTCTTTTATATTATAAGATTACCAAATAAACCAGAGCAGAACTGTGGTCCAGCGAAGGTTTGATGAAAATAGGTCTCGTATTTTTCCACGATCCTCCTGATAAAGATTGGATAAATAACAATCAGTTTGTCAGTTTGTCAAAAAAGTACATCTGTACAATTTGTCCAGCATCAGAATCAGACTGCACCTGTCTGGCAGCCACTAGTTTACCCAGTGGCATTGGCGCTCCGTTCTCTGTGGCGATGCGCTTCAGTGTGGCCAGAGCTTTTTCCTGGTTTCCTGTCAGCATGTCATATCGAGCACTTTCTGGTAACCACTGCTCCAACCCCAGAGAATTACACTGTAGCTTTAGCTTGTTGTGCCTTTGTACACATAATTGTTTTTTGTTTTTTGTTTTTGTTTTTTTTTTTTTTTGCTGACAACATCTCACTCATACTCACAAAACACAAGATGGCAAAGATAAAGAGAGGAATGGTAGAGAGTCCAAGTAGCCATCGCCAGCCCAGAGTAGGCATCACTAGTATCGCTAAGAGAACCTCAAATACGGTTCCCAGGGCCCAAAATATCTGTATTGTAACAATAGTCAATGTATGCACTGTAATGACAAATACACCATTTAGCAAAATCCTTAGCGAAAGTAACTTTAACATCAGAGCAATTATGATTTGTATTATCTGGATGACATCAACAAAATAGTTAAATGTTGGCTGTGTCTGATGGTACAGTGTGGTAATTACCTCAATCAACAAGATGCATGTGGCTCTAGACTTCATAGGCAGAAATTCAGCATAGAGTGTCACCCTGGTAAACAGTGACATTATGATATCAATGCAGAGCTGAACGATAAAAGAAAACAGTGTTGTTGTTACAGTGATTATTATGTTTACTCACGACTGTGGAGCTCCTCCGATGCCAAAGCCCACTAGAGCTCGGAGGACAAGGATCCATCCGTAAATAGGTGCAAATGCACTCATCAAGCCATAAAACATAGTCCACAACACACTCATCTTCAGGCCCTGTGGGTAAATACCATTAAAATTAAATGAACAAGTGGCTAAAAAATTGTTTTGTGTAGAAATCTCAAGAAAATCATGATTTTAACATAGCTGAACTATTGTTCTCAATAAGATCAAAAACAAAAAATAACCATGTCTTACAGGAAACATAATTATAAATCATTATTCTGCATACATAAAATGTCTTTGTGTAACCTACCGTCTTTCTGCCATATTTGTCAGCTATGTTTCCCCAAAGTGAGGAGCTGATCATCATGCCAATGAAAACAGCCTACATTAATATGGAATACAAAAAAAATGTTAAAATCTGATTAAATGTACATGGGATCTTAAATGTATAATTTACAATTTCTATAACACAAGTACTGTAAATATAACCAAAATGTCATGATTTACATTTATATTAATTTGTTTGTTCTTGTTTGTTAAATGAACATTTTAATTACAGGAACACATGGAAATAAAACAGAAATTTCACACCTCTCTATATATATGATATTTAAAAATAGTTTCTCAGTTGAAATTGACAAAAGTAAATTACCTGCCATAATGTATGGCGGGGATGGCTAACCCCAGGCTCGGGAACTACATGCAGCTCTTTACCCGATTTCCTATGGCTCTCACATTTATGTTCGATTTTGTGTTTTTTTTTTTTTTTTTTTTATGGTACTTGAATCTAACCCACATAAGCCTTGACACAAATTCATACTCAAAAGACAAGTGAAAATAAACAGCAAATCTAAAATATGTAGATGAACACAGGATGTTTTCAACAGAGTGGGAGAGTTTTTTTTGTTTGTTTGTTTGTTTGTTGTTGTTGAACATAATCGCAAGCCATTCTGCCTTATATGTCAGGCATTGTTAATGCATTTCATGGCTTTAAATCTCATGGCTTTAAAGCAGCACTTCAGTTCACTCCTTGCTACCATCAACCAGGAATTTCCAATGGGGACTCCCGTGGCTCTTTGCAGTATCAGTTAAAAATTGTGGCTCTTAGCCTCTGACTGGTTGGGCACCCCTGATGTTGCAGTTTAGAGATTAAATCAGAGAGGCCAGGTTGAGATGGTTTGGACGTGTTATGTAGAGATAGTGAATACATTGGACAAAGGGTGTTGGAGATGGACATCAGAGAATATTTGTGGATGTAGTAAAAGAGGGCATGGAGATAGTTGGTCTAAAAGCAGAAGATGCAGGTGATAGATAAAGATGGAGACAGATGATCTGCTCTGGCGACCCCCTGAAGAGAACAGCCAAAAAAGGAAGAAGAAATTACTAATTCCTTTGCTTGAAAGTCATGAGGAAAATCAATGTTAGCAGTTCAAGGATCTAATTCTGGATTCAAGCAGAATATTTAAACTAGTGTGGTCACATAACAACTCATTTGAACCTATTAATGGAAGCAGCACTGGATCAAATACTAGTATCATTTTTCTTATCCTAATGGATGAGCGATTTAAACATATGTCAGGTCCCTGTGGTAAGTATTATATGAGAAATTAGCTCATGCAACCTCATTAAAAACTCTTAAGTATTCCTTTAGACACTGTTCGACACAGGCCTTCTTGTTTCCTTGTTCTTGTTTCTTCGACTTCATCATATAACTTTGAGCACAGAAGGTTATTCAGGCAAAAGCAGCACAGACACGGCCATTACCGATGTCAGCAGCGCCACCTCTAGGCTGGGTAATCTCCATTCACAGTGAAGCTGTGGGGCTAAGATGCTCAGAATCATCATCTCCATGGCATCAGCCATCTAAAAAAATAACAATCCATTATGAAGTGAACATTACTTAATAACATAATAAAGTATTTATTGATTAAAGAGCAGCTCTCACCCATGACAGACCAGTGAGAATGGACAGTTTCCACTGGAACGTCCCAAAGCCTATGGCCTCCACCGCATCTTCTACCATAAAGATGTCTAAAGGAATGAGAAGTGTGTGACAGTTAAGGGAACAGTTAGGAAATAAGAATCCTTAAATATGATGTGTGTAAAATTTATTCTGTACCATCAGTGGGATTTGCAAACTCCCGAGGAATAGGAGCTCCTTCTGCAAGAGCAACAGACTCCAGCTCAGCCTGCTGTTCAATCCTGACAACCTGCTCCCTGTTATCGTTGTCATCCTCAGAGTGTGTACTCTCACCAGTGCGTCGGAAGCGGACAACACTAGGTAAAAACAAACAAACAAACAACATACATTATTTCGTTAAGACCAAACAAATAAAGCAGTCCACAGAAGGACAGTGGCCAACAATGAGAGTCGGATGTTGTTGCCTGGTGGTAATGTCGTCTTGATGGTGGACCCTGGAAGCCCACAGATGGCTCAGCACACATCAAACATGCTGTTTGACAAGCTTTTAAGAGCAATTAAAGGCTTTTAATTACCCAGTGTAATGTATGGATGTAATCGTCTCCCACATGTAGACATTAATTAGTACATATGGAACTGACAAGGAACCTGAGTGCAAATTATAAATAATCACTATAATTAAATAAGCTAGACTAATGTTACATATGGAGAATGTTGTTTTAAATGTTTTACAGTTCTGATACCAAAAGTATTTGGGTTTTTATTTTTATTTTTTTATTTTCTTCATACCAATTTTGGATTCCTAACTTTAGATTATCTCATAATAAATAAATGCTCACAAAGCAGCAATAAGAAAAAACTACTAGAAAGTGCTTCTTAACCCTCTGGAATAACTGCCTGGAGAGGAATTTGACTCAGCCCAAAATTAAAGTGTCACAGATGCACTATTATTAAAGCCCTGAACAGAAATGGACTGGGAGGTTGGAGACCACATTTCTGAAAAACACATCTCTTTTGAAGAATAAGGAGAACGAATTGAACCCAAAAATCAGCATGTAAATGTGACTAATATTTCTGTTTGTGATATATTTGTCTTGACCAACGAACTGTCTGTGTCATTTTCCTAAAGTCATATTGCTGATAATATTTATTTCACACCAGCCATCTCTCAAAACTCCTGTGTACATCCAAGGTGAACCCATCTCCATCACTGACTCTGTCAAATTCCTCGGCACTCACATCAGCACCGACCTCAAATGGAAAACAAATGCAGATCACATCCACAAAAAAGCCCAGCAAAGACTCTTCCACCTCCGACAGCTCAAAAAGTTCAGAGTGAAAGCTCATCTCCTGGTCCGGTTCTACACAGCCATTGTTGAAAGCATTCTCACCTCATCCATCATAGTCTGGTTCAGCCGCCTTGATACACTCGACCAGAAGAAACTGCAGCACATAATCAACAGAGCATCAAAAATCATTGACTCCCCCCTCCCTTCCCTGGAGTCACTACACCACAAAAGAACTGTATGTAGAGCCCACAATCATCTCGGACCCCACTCACCCTGCACACTATACATTTCAGCTTCTGCCCTCCGGAAGGCGCTACAGGACAATTGTGAGTTTGTCTGTTTGCATTTCCCTACTGTCTCTGCCCCCAGTCTTATGCTGTATGTTGTATGTTGCATGTCTGTACCGAAAACAAATTCCACCTGGTTGCAGTGTGGTCATTAAAGAATCAATCAATCAATCAATTTACCAGACAATAATATTCTACTGTTGTGGCTGTGTAATGCTGCCCAGGCTGGACTGGTGCAGCAGGCTTGGAATAATCACGTCCGATACTGAGTCATTAGAGTAAATACAATTATAAGTCATAATGTCAACTCATTAGTCTGAAATCCCTGTGTATTGGCGTTCTGTCAATACATAAACACCAGAGAAAATCGGGTCAGGCTGAGGCGACTATAAACAAACTGCAGCATAGAGGAAGGGCAGCCCAAACAAGCAAAGTTGACAGGGTTTTTTGTCTATTAGTAAATGTGGATGGATGTCATGAATTAAAAAAAGCAGTTCTGTTTTACGGCTGTTTGTTAGCTTATCAAGGAAACACTGTCAGAGCTGTCAGTGGGCGACACGTCGGACGTGCTGTCGTGCTGGCGAAAATAAACTGAATCCCAGACAAGGGCGTTGAAAGCAGGCTGTGGTTTTACTCACGGCAGCTGTCTCAGCTGGAACAGATCATCGTCCATGTTCGGCTGCATTGGCTGACGCTCCTTTTCGGCCTCATCGCTGTTTACATGATCTAAATGAGCAGCGATTTCAGCACCGAGGAGAGCGACTCGCGGCTGCTGTGCCCGCAGCCAATCACAGACCAACGTGACACACATACACGCATGAATCCACGCGCGCGCGCACACACACGAACGATCCCACGCACAGACACACGGAGCATCAGTTTGAATCAGATCAGCTCAGGAGGACCTCATAATCTGTATTAAACTCTACTGAAAACAAAATACATTCAGTCGTATTGTTGACTCAACCGGTGGTTCCTTAAAGGGTTAGTTGGTAATTTATTTGTTTTCATTTCACTTCATATATTGTTCATTGGACTTAAGACGCAGCTTTAATTACGTTTGTTAAAACAGACATTTTGGCTTTTTGTAGATATGTTTTCTATTTATTTTATTTTTTCTCTCTTGCAAGTCGGAGAAGCAATGTTTACGTTTTTGACTTTTGCTAAAGAGAGATAGCTGGGAGAGGGGGGATTGGACATGGACATACATCTCTATAGTTTTTCGCACACAGTACTCAACACAACAGTAATTCTCACACATGAATCTTGAAATAAACATTCGCTCTGCAAGTTATCTTTAATGACATTAATGATGTGCCCACACTTGGATGGATGAATGTATAGATATTATTGTATATTATATGCTGATATAACGTTTAATTTGTGGAAAGATGTAAGGAAAACCAAGCCAAGGAACATATACATATGCTGGTACACATGTTATTATTATTATGCTAAATACTTCGTTTACGTTGTGTCTACGCTAAAGCCACTGAAAAGCTCAACCGCAAAAGTGACAGGAACAGGGGTCTACCCGGAACATTAATTATGAACACATCCGCACTCTTTTCCGTTGGGTCCGTCCTGAAACATAGCAACGTCATAAAAAATAGTTCCGAAAATAAGGTAGGATGTTTCGATATGGACCGGAGACTTCAGACATGCTTGTCCGAGAGTTTCTTGGAACTGGACACATAATCAGGTAAAATTGTATGTTTAAGTGTAGACAGTGATCGCGGTTTTTGCAGCTGCATGGAGGCGGAAGGAGACGCGGGTCACAAAAGTGCCGTACGTTTGTGCAAGAAGTGCAACACGCGCAGATGTAGACAAGTACAGCCAAGGGGAAAGGTCGTGTTATTGTTCATTTACCGACAGGTCGTAAAACTCGGTGCTCCGGAAATGCTCGTATAACAGATGTTACAGATTTTGACACGCTGGTCGACAGTGTAGTCGTTGCGCTAAACTATATGCTATTAGCAGGCTGTCGGTTCAATTTAATTGTGGTAAAGGGCAGTGAGATGAGATACCAAATGCTCTTTAAGCCACTGTTACGGTTTTTGTAGTTTTCAGGTTTTTGTAGGTTTTCTGTTGTTTGAGGGATAAGAAATACTTAGTTAAAGCCGTGAGAGGGATTGTGTTTGCCGTAAGGAGTGAGTGCAAGTATTTCATTTCATTCAGCAAGCAGGCAATACTCTTTGTCCACTTTTGCTGGAGGCCTGTAATCCTGTTACTTTACACGTTATCTTCTCAGGAACAGGATGATTAAAAACTGGGGTGTAATCGGTGGGATTGCTGCTGCAGTTGCAGTTGGAGTTTATGTTTTGTGGGGCCCAACTACGGAGAAAAAGAAGAAAAAGAGAGGTGAGATGCATTCAGTTATGTTGTTGAAGTCGTCGTGATCGCAAAGCAGCAAATACCTTATGTTTTCTTGCAGGTATGGTTCCTGGTCTGCTGAACTTGGGGAACACTTGCTTCCTGAACTCTTTGCTTCAGGGTTTAGCAGCATGTCCATCTTTCATCAAGTGGCTGGAGAAACTTTCATGTTTGCCTTCAGTCCTGTCCCAAAAAGACAAACAGCTGTCCATCACACTGCTCCAGCTTCTAAAAGGTATTTGAAAAAAATGGGTCAAATGAATCCTGGATTGTTATCAACAACTGTTTGTTTATTTGTTTGTTTGTGATTGAAGCTGTTTGTGTTTCTACAGCTTTGTCTAGCGATGAACCTGGAAATGAAAATGTACTTGATGCTGGCTGTCTCTTGGATGTTCTCAGGCTTTACCGGTGGCACATTAGCTCATTTGAAGAGCAGGTTAGTTGTGTTGTTGTTGGGTTGTAGTTTTTTTATATTTTATATACACTTTCGTTTATTAATGGCTAAAACATTTTCTATTATTTGTTGCGTTATTTACTTAAGGATGCTCATGAACTGTTCCATGTTTTGACATCATCGCTGGAGGAAGAACGGGATTGTCAACCTAAAGTTGCTCACTTGTTTGACATGCAGTGCCTAGAGGTGACTTATCCAGTGGACCGTCCTCTTTCTTAATTGTTTAATGTCTCCTATAGTGTGTTTTTAAAAACGTTTTGGAGCCGCAAAGAAAATACGTTGTACAAAAGTCCAATTAGATTTTTTTTTACAATGGTCTGTGATTGTTTTTGTAGAGTCTTCCTGATCAAGGTGAAGAAACAATGACCTGCAGCAGTCGAGGTATTAAAACAGGTCAGGGAATCCTTTAATTTAGTATTTTAGTTTTATTCATTTTGTATAATTTCATTTATTTTGTAGCCCCTCTTCATCCCATACCAAGCCCCTGGAAGTTTCAGCATCCTTTTCACGGCCGTCTAACGAGTAACATGTCATGCAAACGCTGTGAACAACAAGTAAGGTGTTTTGTTGGCCATTACATAATGACGCTATTTTATGTTGACTTTTATCTCTTAGGGTGATTACTGTGATTTCTTTTTTTTTTTTACCTAGAGTCCGGTGCGATATGATTCATTTGAGAGTCTGTCTCTGTCCATCCCTGTGCCTCAGTGGGTAAGCAGAAAACATGAATCCAATAATGAATGTTAGAAAAAAGGAAACGACAAATTAAACATGTCCGGAGTTTTACTTCACTTTAGATGCACTTACACATCATTTTAGATTGATTGCCTTTGTCAAAAATGTCAAGTAAGTAATCTGCAAGTATTTCAGGAAAAGTGACAGGAAGGCTTTGCTGCAGATGGTTCTTTTAGTTGGTGCGGTTATTTGTTCCGTGTTATCTTCAGGGTCGACAGATTTCCATTGATCAGTGTCTCCAACACTTCATCTCTTCAGAAACCATCAAAGAAGTGGAGTGTGAGAACTGCACAAAGGTACAGCCACTAAAGTCTCAGTGTCCTATGATTCACTCCTGATAATCAACAACAACTACTAATATGGTATCTTGAAGTGAAATTGTGTGACATGAATATTTTACATTAATATGTATTTAACTAATTTTACTTTGTGTCTGGTTGTAATTGTTTGTTTTCAGCTTCAACAACAGACCATGATAAAAGTCCTGGAAAGTCAGAGAACAACTTTTGTGAAACACCTAAAACTAGGGAAGGTAAAAATGTCACCCATACTTGTAATGATGTCAATCATTGATTAGATAGTCAATTCAAATTCTTCTTGTTTAATTTAAATTGATCAGTAACTGTTCTGTAGATCAGGATTAGATAACGGATGGATTGTGTCCTCTGTGTGTGTGTGTGTGTGTGTGTGTGTGTTTTGTGTGTAGCTTCCACAGTGTCTGTGTATCCATTTACAAAGACTGACGTGGTCCAGTGAAGGAACCCCAATTAAGCGGCAGGAACATGTTCAGTTCTCCGAATACCTCTCGATGGACCGCTACAAACATAATGTGTCAACACAGAGAAACATGCAGCTTCGCTGTACAGCTAAGTCAGCAAATGTAGAAAACACAGACAAACCCACAGATAATGGCATCGGTATGTCAGCTTTTACATTAACTTCATTTTCATCTTCATTTTCTACTGTAACAACCTTTTTCTGTCTGTTTTACGATCATTGTGTTTTTTTTCTCCATCTTCTGTCTTCCAGATGCAGAGCGTCATAACAACAACAATCCTTTTTCCAATGGAAACTGTTCATCTTTATTTCATCTGTCACCTGGAGCGAATCTCATCTATGACTACAAGTAACCTTCAAACAAACACAACACACACAACACTGCCCAGGTCATACTATGTAAGTCAGGATAAAATAATTGCTCTCTACATCAAATGGAAGGAGGCAGCTGTAAATTAATCTCAGATTATCAATATTAGGCATATACAATTATATAGGTTAATTTAGTGTAATGTGAAGTTTATTGGATTTAATGTTTTCAGCCTTAAGAAAACCCTTCTTGTTGAGACTATTGTGACGATAAATTGCTGAGTGCTGTTCTTTACCTAGTTATTCATTTATTGAACCTTCACCATTACCTGCTGCAACATATTAATTTTCATTTGTTTAATAAGTTCTTTCTTCTCTTCATCCTCCACCAGTTCCCCAGAGTACTACTTCCTGCTCACAGCTGTGCTGGTTCACCACGGTGACATGCACTCAGGACATTTTGTCACATACCGCCGGAGCCCTTCCTCTCCTCGCAGCTGCTCACCCTTCAGCTCCCAGTGGCTCTGGGTGTCGGACGACTCCGTAAGAAAGGCCAGTCTGCAGGAGGTGCTGTCTTCTAACGCCTACATGCTCTTCTACGAAAGAGTCCAAAGGCCGATCCTGGCTCTGCATTCAGGAGTAAACGGACAGACAGACTTGTGATTATGTCAGTTACCATGGTTTCTCTACCAGCAGAGGTTGACTTTGAGACTAGAAAGGAAAGCCATGGCAGAGTGAATGTGGGAGTTAACTTTGTATCAAGGACCACAGCAGCATGTCAGGCATTAATGTTGGATGTTGCTGATTTTGTAAACTGTGTACAATTTGCTATTTTGCGAAAGATTACGGGCCCAATTTATAATCAAACATCTAAAACAACAGTTCTGGTCTTGTAATAGCAAGAGTAAAGTAAATAAAACACACAGGGGGTTATTGTGCATTTAAGACAACAGTGTTGCACTTTTTTTTTCAAGCGGTTTGGTATTTAATGTAATAAATTAGTAAAACTACTATTCTCAGGCTGGACAGGTTGAGAAATCATGATTTTGGTTTTATACGATAAGCAACCACTAAAGCCAAGATGAGGGCATTGTTTAAGATCAGTGCTGTAGTGCTGCACCCATCGTTAAAACTTAAATTACACCTGATTTAAAACATTTAAAATATGTGTTGCCTTAAATAATGTTGGATATGACACCATCATAGATGTGTGGTGGCCTATTAAAAATTATTGGGAAATTATTCTGTATGATTCCTTTTTTTTATTCTGACATCTCTACCAATAGAGGAACTATTTTTTTCAGATAAAACCAGTTCTCCTGTGAGTTATTTGAGGTACAAAATTATTTCCAGCTTTATATTGACTTTTTGTGAATGTTCTACAGATGGTTTAAACTTTGCTGGTTTTTGGTCAAACAAGAAAATTACTGCAGGTTTTAGAAGCTATTTAGTATAATTGTATTTTTCTGTGTAAATTTTAGCTTCAAGTTTGGCTCCGTCCAAATCAGCCATGTGAATGTGGCCTGATGCAAAGTCCTTTGTCACCTGTTTCTGCAATTTGCACTAATGTTTATTCATATGAGGATATGTGTATTAATGTAAAGTATGTGAAGATAATGGTTTTGGTATTAAAATGGAAAAACAAAACGTGATCACTAAAGACACAAGAGCGACAAAATGGTGTGTTCATTTAGAAGTAGATGTGCCAAAAACCCAGTACTTGGTTTTTACAAATTAATACTGTGACTTTTCAAGTTTCTTCAAACTTGAATTTCTTCATGAGATCCTCAATGATTATAAGGTCATGTGCCTTCTTCAGTGAGTAACTAACCTTAAGGTGGTAAAAAAAGTTGATACAGTTAGTACAGTATTTAAGCTAACTTTGAATTGAATATGTTCCATTTGATTATTTTTAATTTAAAATGCACCATCACTTTCATTCTCCTCCACCTGATGTCAAACCTAACGTTCTAAAAGGTATTTGAAAAAAATGGGTCAAATGAATCCTGGATTGTTATCAACAACTGTTTGTTTATTTGTTTGTTTGTGATTGAAGCTGTTTGTGTTTCTACAGCTTTGTCTAGCGATGAACCTGGAAATGAAAATGTACTTGATGCTGGCTGTCTCTTGGATGTTCTCAGGCTTTACCGGTGGCACATTAGCTCATTTGAAGAGCAGGTTAGTTGTGTTGTTGTTGGGTTGTAGTTTTTTTATATTTTATATACACTTTCGTTTATTAATGGCTAAAACATTTTCTATTATTTGTTGCGTTATTTACTTAAGGATGCTCATGAACTGTTCCATGTTTTGACATCATCGCTGGAGGAAGAACGGGATTGTCAACCTAAAGTTGCTCACTTGTTTGACATGCAGTGCCTAGAGGTGACTTATCCAGTGGACCGTCCTCTTTCTTAATTGTTTAATGTCTCCTATAGTGTGTTTTTAAAAACGTTTTGGAGCCGCAAAGAAAATACGTTGTACAAAAGTCCAATTAGATTTTTTTTTACAATAGTCTGTGATTGTTTTTGTAGAGTCTTCCTGATCAAGGTGAAGAAACACTGACCTGCAGCAGTCGAGGTATTAAAACAGGTCAGGGAATCCTTTTATTTAGTATTTTAGTTTTATGCCACCATCACTTTCATTCTCCTCCACCTGATGTCAAACCTAATGACCATGATAAAGCTGTTTTTCACTGCAGCATATAATTGAGGTCTAGGCCATTGGTTCCCAACCTCTTTTGGCCTCTGTCACCACAGATTTCTGGCAACCTCACCTTTTTATCAGTTACTAGACATTTCAGGTGACCTCACGTGGGGTCACGATGCCAAGGTGGAAAAAGACAGGTCTAGGATCACCTTAATTCTTGCCACCCTGTATGATGCGTCTAAACGTGAGGTTGATGCGAGGAAGGAGGACCTTCTTGCGCACAGGAAGGGCGTGGTACCAAAAAGTGTTGGTGGGTGGATTCATAAGGAGCAGGCTTCCATGAGTGAGCTCCAACCTCACAGGTTCAATCTGCCTGCAGCCCTGTTTACCCCGAGCACCTCTGTGCCTAAATACAAAGTCCCGTGCAGCTCCAAGAGAGACAGAGGCGATGGGACAACGAGGGTCCAGCTCTTTTTCATCATCACGATGCTCACTCATGTGATCCTGTCCATCTTTATATCTGGTGCAGTAAAAAAAGGTACAGATTAAACACAAAAAGAGAAGAGTCAAAACTGGAATTACATTAAGTCTCACCTGTTGACCAGGACAAAGTTAAATGTCTGCCCTGTTACATTGTTGACAGCATCTCGAATGGATTCCAAAGTTGGAGTCCAGGGACAGGCGGAACGAGTCACTCCAGAATAAGTGTAGGTCACGCCAACATCTCCATATGTTGCCTGTTTCCTTGGTATATTGTGCAGCTGTCCAAACAGGTGGACCTTTGCTTCGTCCCCTAAAACACAACACTGTGACTCTACATCACTAAAGTCTCTTGGTGTCACTTCATAATGAGAGTTACTATTCTACCTGTTGAGTACACAATCTCTTCCTCCAGTTGTTTAAAATGTCTGTCTGCGTCACCTTTGGAGAACAGTAAAGCATAATCACAGTCAAGTCCTTCTGCCTCTATTTTTTGCCAAGGTACTGGATGAGAGAACTCTGCCAGAGCTTCATCCTCATCTTCCTCCCCATCCATATCCTCTTTCTCCATCCTCTCCTGTTTGAATGAGTTGACCTCTCTGCTTGAACTTCTTGTTTTTGCATCACTGGTGCAGGAACAGGTATTATGTTCCTGAATCCCAAATGCATCCATTGCATTAACCTGTTACATGCTTCAGTTACTTTCTCAAAACCTGGGGGGTTCCAAGAACAATAATTAATATGGAATCAAAGTTTCAGTGTGTACCTGCTGTGGCTACAATTGCAGTGTATTTTCTCATGTTTCTATCAGCATAAAAGAACAAAACATAAAACATAAAAGGAAAGAATACATTTTTAATTCAATTGTGTCCACATTTAAATCAAACTAACCTTTGTTGGTAGTGAAATAACATACCAAGTGCAATACGCTGTCTGTCTTTTGTCCGTTATATTTACTTGCTTGGTATATATGTTATTTTCACTCATATTTTATTATTTTTGTTTAAAATGATGCAATAATTACATCTTCAAATAAGAAATGCACTGTCATATTCCAGATTACGGATCCGACTGGTACAGTCAACCACAAGGGGGCGACAGGTCATCGTCTGCTGTCCGATTTGCTGATAATGAAACAGATTTCTATTTTAATTAATACTGTGTTGTGAGGTTAAGGGAGGATATTGTCACCACTGTATTCCATTTAATTCAATATAAGACTGAGGAGTTTGTTTACTGGATGGCTAATTTTAGATTTTAACCACAATGCGACCAACCACTACCTCTACTGCTTCCAACGACACCATTCTACCTACCTCATTGTCACTCACACACATATACCATCTCAATAAAACGTCACATCCTGTACTAAACTTACAGTTGGGGATCACAACAACTTCAAATTCGCTTTTTTGTTATTTTCAAGCCACCCTGTGCTTCATAAATGCTGCTTGAAATAAACGTCAGTTGCAGTACCGTAAGTCAAAAACTATTAAGAAACACCAGCTTGGTCCGAAAAGCAGCCCGCCCATTATTACGTAGCTCATTGCGTCATTTTTGTTGGCGCCAAAGACTACTGCGTCCACCACGCCTCTATATCTCTATTTTTCTCAAAATCGACGTAATTTTTATTACCCTTCAAAGCATAGAACTGGGTACGGAATCAGGGAACACAACGAATGGTGCTTCGGACGCCATTGATCACGGGACTGGCCAAACGAAACAAGTCTGGACATAGTGCTGCCTAACGCTGTGACAATCACTAGCGCCCAGTGGTCACTTACAGATTGGTCTGTTTATCTTTGTTAACTTGTGTAATTCATTTTATAGCGAGACTTATTACTTGCGTGAAGCTGATCGCAAAGTCGCTTTTCAACAAAATGATAGGACAGAAAACTATCAACTCGTTTTTTTCGCCTGTCTCGAAAAAGAGGATTTCTAAGGAGTTAAATGAAACCGAAGATGTGAACGAGTCAGTGAGTGTCATGTTTAAACTTCTCTAGTCACAAATAACCTCATCTTTTGTTTGTTATTACTGTACTTACATGGTGATGCAGCTCAACAGTGCAAAAGTTTCCGCATAAATAGTGGATTCAGGCTGCGTTCACAAACGCCACAGCTGCTAAAACACACCTCTGCATGAGAATGTTGACATTCCGCTCACTGAGGCTACTTTCGTCTGATCGCCCCCCTCCACTTCGACTCTTATCTGTTTCCTACCCCGCTTCTTACACCAAAATTTTGCAGAAGAAGCCAAAGCTTTCGGCGGTGGACTCAGAGCCGTCCACGCCGCCTAAAACCCCTCTGTCACCGGAGGACCTGGAGAAAATCGCCCGCAACAAGAGAGCAGCTTTTGAGCGACTCTCTTCCTCCCAGTGTCCCCCAGGGTTCGGTGAGAGTTGGAGGAAAGGGCTGTGTGGGGAATTTGGAAAACCATACTTCAAACAAGTGAGAGGATCAGCTAGCTCCATGCACATAATTGTGTTTCTGTCATGCTAAAAAGAGTTTTACTAACTATTTCTATCTGAAACGCATACAGTTGATGAATTTTGTGTCTGAAGATCGGAAACGCACCACAGTGTATCCACCTGTCGAAGACATCTTCACCTGGACACAGATGTGTGACATTAATGATGTAGGTGACATAACTCTGACCTAATTGGTTAGCATTGAGCAAATTATCCTCTAAACAAAAACTATATAATAGAAGTGGACACAGCCATACGAAGTCGTTTTCACTAGAATTACATTTACTATCACAGTCCTGTCTCTTCCCTCAGGTCAAAGTAGTAATCCTTGGTCAGGATCCATATCATGGTCCAAAACAAGCCCATGGATTGTGCTTCAGTGTTAAAAGACCAGTACCACCCCCTCCCAGGTGGGACCTCCATCTCATTCGTTTTCTTTGTTTGCTTGTTTAAATCTTAAAATACTAAAGATTTACTTTCTGTCCGTTTTCAGTTTGGAGAACATGTACAAAGAGCTAGCTACAGACATTGAAGGTTTCCAGCATCCTGGACATGGAGATCTCACTGAGTGGGCCAAACAGGGTATTTTAAAAAACAACAATAAAAAAAACCTCAAATAAAAAAGTCTTACTCAACAGATTACCTTTGCATGATGAACAGAGTTGCTGTCTTTTTTTTCTTTTTTTTAAAACCATGATATACTCTTCAGGCGTGTTGTTGCTCAATGCTGTACTGACAGTCAGAGCACACCAGGCAAACTCCCACAAAGACAAAGGCTGGGAGACCTTCACTGATGCTGTGGTGCAGTGGCTCAGCACCAACCTGGAGGGGCTTGTCTTCATACTGTGGGGGTCCTATGCTCAGAAGAAAGGAGCTGCTATTAATAGAGTAGGTCAACAGTTCTGCATGAGAACCAATACATAAAGTGGTATCTTCCTGTTTTGTTGATAGAGCATTACTTTTGAACTATTTTTGCAGAAACGTCACCATGTGCTCCAGGCTGTGCATCCTTCTCCCCTGTCTGCACACCGTGGGTTCTTTGGCTGCAGACATTTCTCAAAGGCCAACGAGCTGCTGAAAAAATCTGGGAAGACTCCCATAGACTGGAAGGCACTTTAAGTTACTGTTTGTGTAAGAGTCACATTCTGTGTGAAAGTGAATTACTGACCACATACTTCCAGTAATCTGTTAACATTGCAAATATGTTTATATTCCCTGTTCCCTGAAGCTTTGTCTGACTGCTTTTTTTTAAAACAGTTTATTCTTAAAAGTCTGTTCCATTAAAGTAGTTCCTAAAAGTGCATATTGTGTGTAAATTATTTAATGTTCAATTTGCACAGATATTAGGCATAACTCAGTCGCTGTTCACATTCTGCTGTACTTTATTACCACAAGTATTAATTGTCTCATTATGTAATCAAGACTCAGTCCATTGCCCCTAGAATAAGGTGGAGACATATATTCCTGTAACCACTAAATGACCTATAGTAGAAAAGTGATATTGACTGGGGAATCACACTCTGAAATCCAGGGAGATTTACACCACTAGATGATGGCAGTGTCACAAAGGAAAATGGGGATTACAATTGTACAAAACATACAATTCAATATTACAATGTGCATTAAATAATAGCAGCACTCAGTGAATCATACATAATAAAAACGAATACAACAAAAGATATAAAAAATGACATGTTCAGTTTCCATGTAACAGCTGTTAAAAAGATGAGCTATTGGCACTGAGAATACATTTAAATCAATTCTATCATTTATTTTAATTAAAAGAATAAGGAATGTAGTCTAATGGTATGCCAGGTACCAGTCAAAAATATTTTCCATTCATTGCAGGAATAAGTTTATAAATGGGCTTAAATACAGATGTGTTGGTCAGTTAAAAACCCGAAATGTTTTTTGTCCTGATAGGAAAGGTGTGTTTTCCTTAGATTACCAATTTAAAATAAAAATTGCCCACCGTTTCTTAAAGTAAAGTTTGTATTAACAATATAAACTGTATGGAATGTCAGGGACATAAACCACATATATAAATGATTTTATTGTTATTATTATTTATGTTAATTTTCAACTAGATAGCTAAAGAATAAAATTCGTTCTCCAGTTTGTTTCATGGTCTGTATCAAAAGCACACAGGCACTCGACGCATGGTGTGACGTCACCGCGAAGGCGGGACCACTATGGGGTGTTGTGACGTCATCCGGAAGTGTCTGAGCGGAGTTCCTTTTCCTGTAAATTCGGTCATTAGACTAGAGCTTGTTTTCTGTTTGTGATGTTCGTTTAGTGTTTGCAGTAAAAGACGCGACGATGCCCGTGCAGAGTGTACCGGTGCGGGATGTGTCCGTACATTTCCGGTTACTGCAGCAGTATCTGCTGCTGCTGAAAAAATACCCCATCCTCACAAAGTCTGTGACCAGGTCTGTAACTCTCGTTTAAAATCACTGGTTGTTGGACGACTGTAAACTTTTTGCTTTTTGCTTTTTTAAAAGAAGTTTGAAAAAAAAAAAAAACAATTTAAAGAAAATTACACAGAAAACTAGAAAGACACACGTGGTACTGTAGGTACTGTAAACAACGGACAATACAGTAGTGTATAACTAACGTAGTAGTTAATCTCTGCTAAAGGCACCTTATTGAATCCAGCAGGTCAATATAATAATATATAATGCTCTGAGGACGCTTCTGTGCATAACGCTGTAATCCAATGAGGGAAACAAGTAAAAAAATGATCATGTTAGTAGGTTTCAGTTGCTTAAAGGTTGAAAACTGTATGAATCTGTGAACTCAAAAACCCATGTTAAAAGACCATCATAGCTTTAGAAATGTAAAATATCTGTCAAAGAAGAACAGAATTCTGTATTGGATAAAATAATCTATGCTTCCTTCAAAAATGTATGTACATAAATGCTTTGCTTGATAAATACTTTTAATTATCCTATTTTTCAAAACAAAAAATAACATTGATCCATTTGTTTCCAACTACTGTGTATCCTTCTAGCCAATCAGCATTGACTTGAAGATCCTCCCCTAGCTCTTTTTTAAATAATGACACAGAGTACACAGAGAGTACAAACTTTGTTCAGGGTCACTTAATTTTTTCACTGTGTCATGACATTCTACTATCATGCATTAGTAATTGGTACTTTTCCTGATTCTAATTAATGATTCTAATTCTGTCTGTGAGTCTGTGTAAAAATGATGAAATTTCTGGGGAAAAAAGAGAAAGTACTGTTCCAACATATGAATTGTTTCATGAACTGTGGTGTGTCGGTTGGATATGAAACCTGACCCTGTATATGACATATTATTTATCTTTAAAGGTAAATATGTCACTGTGTGTCCCTTTGATTTTTCAGTGCCATCATTTCAGCTTTAGGAAATTTACTGTCTCAGTTTGTGGAGGCAAGAAAAAAGGCCAAGAATGAAGTTTCCATAAGTGAGATTGACGCAGCCGCAGCTGCACGCTTCGCCATCTATGGGTAAGACTTCACGTAAGCCGAAAAATAAATTCATAGTCACGTATAATCTAGCACTAGTCATTATTCACAGGTCGGTCTTACCACATTATTCATCAACAACTCTGTCCTGACGTGTCAACATACTGAAACATGGTGTAACATGAAAAGAGTATCATCAGAGCCAAATCCCTTTTTCTCATGTTTTGTCTTTTTGCTTGTTATTGCAGATTGATCATTACAGGACCAGTCAGCCATTACTTCTACCAGCTGATGGAGGTGTGGATGCCCACCACTGATCCATACTGTATCGTCAAACGTCTGCTTCTGGACAGACTTTTTTTTGCACCTGGGTTTTTGCTTATTTTCTACTTTGTTATGAACGTCTTAGAGGTGAGTCATGTTGCCCCAGCAATTTATATTTATTCAATAGATATTTGTAAAGGCAGTCAGGCTTCTTATACATTCACTAAAGCTAGGAAAATAAATGACTGATTTTCCAACATAAAATCTACGGCTGTGTAAATTACGTTAATTTTGTGAAGATGAATTGTATTAAATATTTCAACTCAAGTCAGAGGCAAAACAACATGGCCTGTATAGCCAACAATTCCACTGTCCATCCACTAATTCCTCTTAAATAGACAGTCGATACACATTGTTTTTTATTTTTTGCACTCGCTGCAGAAACTTGAAAGACAAACTCGTTCAACTTCCGGTCAGACGTGTAAGAACAGACTCAGGGCAGTCTAAACAAGTCTACGGCTGATAGACTGACACACTTCAGAGGGTGTCAGAGGGATTGTGACGGACTGTGGACTGATTAACAATGTTGTTGACAATGGTTTCACTGAATTTCTTAAAGTAGCTCAGCGGCACAGAAAAAAGTAAATGTAATGGATGCCTCTCTCTAATAAAACATCATTTAAATTATTACATGATATGTTTCCAGGCTAAAGGATGGAAAGACTTTGAACAGAAGATGAGGCAAAGTTACTTGACCGCTTTAAAGATGAACTGGAAAGTCTGGACTCCATTTCAGTTTATTAATGTCAACTTTGTGCCTGTTCAGGTATGACTTTCATTCAAATGCACATTGTACAAGAGATGACAGTTACACATAAATGGTGTCATTTAACAATGTAAAGTTTTCATGTGCTTCTCTCAGTTCAGAGTACTGTTTGCCAACATGGTTGCCTTCTTCTGGTACGCCTACCTGGCTTCAGTGAGGAAGTGAGATTTCCTGAAGATCAGTGATGAGTTGATCCGTCAAGAGGAATCTTCCCCTTACTGTGACTTTGGTGACCAGGGATGTGGGACGTAACAGACATAACCAGACACAAGAGCGTGACCCTGTTTCACAATACATTGCAAATAATTTAATAGTTATTCTGACACTGACAGCTAACACAGCTGTACCCTGATCCCTTTAAACCACTACAACAGACTACTTTGTTCTAACAGAACATGTACACAAGTATGTTTAGATTTTATTTTTTTTTGCTTTAGAGCCAAAGTCTTTCAGGTTGTCATACCAGATACATTTTAATCACTCTGGGAACAAGACATTTTAAATAATCTGTGCTAAATGTTTGGTGTCTTGTTGTGGACTGTGCCAGAGAAACTTTTGCACTCAATTTCTGAAAATAAATACATTACAAATGATCTCATTGATAATGTTTTTTTTATTATTATTAAAAGGTTGTGGTCCATATGGTCAAAGATGGATGTCCATGATCTTGCCTCAAAGCAACAAAGATCACTAGTGGTAACTAATGTCTATCTAGGTGGTGTTTGCTAAAAACATGCAGGATTAGGGTAAGTTCTTTGACATTGGGTTTAATTGGACAACTTCAAACCAAATATTGAATAAGTAAATGACCAATTTCCTAATGACCATTTCTCAGTGAAGCATGTGTGATATGTTGTGTAATACTTACTTCACTGCTCTTGTCTTTACTGTTAACAAATTCATTGACTAATTTCTGAAATTTTACATTGTTTGGACAGGGGTTAAATAATACAATTAACAAAACATCTATTGACACTTAGAGACAATTTATTCTTTAGTTATTGTGAAACCTGGGCCAGAGAGAGAGTGAGAGAGTTTTAGTCTTTGAATGTGTAATCTGAATTAATTAAAAACTAGGTTGTGCATAGACGTTACAACATTACAACTTTATTTTGACATAAAACTCACACAACATTAACCTTAACCAGAGAGAAATAAAAAAAAATCCACATATACATTGATCTATTATCAGCCAATGACGGTGTGTCCTCTGCCTCCTCTCAGACGCAGTAACAGCTCAATGGTGCTCAGAGCTTGGACGTTGTAATCAGACAGTTTTCCTTGCGTCATCTCCTGGCCTTGGAACACCAGCCTCTGCTGACTCTCTGCCACGCCTTCTCTGTGCTGCACCCTGCGCTTAAAGTTGGCCACTGTCTCGTCAGGTGTGATGTCGTAGGCGCTGACCACGTTTTTGACGTTCTTCAGAAATACCTGAATGGTGACCGGTTCGATCACCAGCAAGGACACTTTGGAGCCAGAACGCAGACCGTAGAATGCTATGTTCTGGGAGTTGTCGCTCAAATCCTTCCTCTGCCCATTGTCAAACACCAGTCTCTGTCTCTCGGGGGTTACATTCAGTTTCTGATGGATGCGCTGCCTCAGAGAGCCCACGTTCTCCTGAGGCTGCACCATCAGAGTGCATGAGTTCCCGTTTAACATTGTGATGGTTATTTCCATGATCTAGGAGAGAATTTTGACATTTCTGATATTCAGTGGTTGTGACATAAAACAATGGAGTGCTATTAGGGGACAGGCAATGGTGCTTTCAGTATTAACATACATCTAAGTTGTTTGATGATAGCAATTAAAATTCTCCTTTAAGCCATTTACTTTGGCTTAAAGGAGTGTATTTGCCTGACAGAAATACAACATGTAAATAAAGCGTAGGTACCAACACAATGATAACAAACGATCGAAGAGACAATTGTAAATATAATTAAAAATATATATTAGCGTAGATTTATGAATTCAATAGGCTAAATCAATTTCTAAAAATATTTAAATAAATAATTAGTTAAAACCATTATAAATACGTAGGTTTTTGTTATACTTCTCATTGTCTAAGTAAAAACATACAATCAAAACTATCATACGGAATTTTGAGGGATTCTGAAATTAAGAATGTAATATAGTAAACTAATTCAATACAAACACAATGCATTCCTTAATCAACAGATTCCCAAGACAGACGTTAAAATCTTTTAAAGCAAAAATTGATATTAATTAAATCACTTTACTTACTTAATGGCACGTTAAAGCAAAATCCTGTTGAAAAAGTTTTAGGTTAAGAACAGATTGTAAAGCGATGCTCCTCAGCTGCAAAGCTCTCAGTCACAGACGGTGAACAGTCACTCACCATTGTTTATATACAGGCTGCTTCAGTCCTCCCTCCACTAAGATTCGTTTTTCCCTCACAGGTCCTTTAACTTTCAGTTTCCATTCTCTGTAAAGTGACTTGGTGTAATGCAACTTTGATGTCACAGGACAAAGTTTTGTTTTAACTCCAGGAAATTCACATTGACAAAAATACAATAACAAAATGAACATCACTGTGTATCGTGTTCATTAATGCACAAGTAAATAGAACTAAATAAAATACTTTTACATCACACACAGTATAAAGGTTTTAGGAAGAATGTTCCAGTTTTTAAGGATTGATAATGTTTAAATGAAGGGATTATAATTTAGAACAAATTCTTGTTTTATCACTTTATTATGTAGTTTTTTGTGCTTTTGTCTTTGGTCTACCTCCTATTTTTTATGTTTATTTCTTGTACTTTTTCATTGACTAGTTATTGTAGTCCATATTGTCCTGACAGCATAGTAATTACTGCAGTTCTATCAAATCTATATCTAAGGCTGTGCTGTGTACTTCTGGTCAATGTCAATTTCATGATTTTCCTGGAAACCAATTTGACCAAGTAGTGCATTTTGACATGGGGAATGGAATGGACATTGTCAATACAAATACAAAGGAAGACTTGTTTTTGACTTATATTCTTTCGGCTCAGTGTGTTATGTCACACTGCAACTACTGTCATTTGGTTGGGAGTTGTTTTTTTAAACTAACACCAGCCATCACCATTCAAAATAAATAATAATACATCAAATAAATATATAATAAATAATATAAATAATATTCAACTTCACTCTGATACTGCGTTTGAATTTGAGCAAGTCATTATGACCATGTGGACACACCTTGATAAACCAAAAAGCCACTTGACTCAATGATGTCATGAATGAGCAGTGGAACAAGTGGGATAATAAATTAGGTCAGTGGTTCTCAAACTTGTTGTACTCTGTACCACCTGAGAAAAGACTGAGCTCCCTGAGTACCACAATGATGACCAACATTAGAATATAGCAGCATAGGCCTTCACTGTTAGCTTACACCACACAGGAGAGATGCTTATAAAGATGTTTATGTTTAAATGTTGTATTAATTGTGCATGGTATGGTTCAGATTTATTCAATTGAAAATGTGAAAATATGAATTTTCTCCACGTACCACTAGAGAGCACTCGTGTACCATTGGTGGTACACATACCACACTTTCAGAACCACTGAATTCGGTAATACATGGCTAATGTAGAGAAACCAAATCAACATTTACTTATTGTTATTGTAACAAATACTTTTACAACTTAATTTCACACATTTTCAAAAGTACTTCCGGCACTTGCTTAATTGTGTAGAGATTTTTAATTACTTGATTTTCACCGAACGATTTTCAAAGCAAATTGATCATTTTAAACCCCTTTAAAGACTTAAAGGTGCTGTCCGAACAACACTTAAAAACAACAAATAGTAGAATATTCTATTTTCATCCTCTATCATGAACAGATATTACACAGCATTTTGTGTGAGATGAAAGTGAAACTAAAAGCAAGCAGCAGCTTTTACATTTTTAAGGTATTAGAACAAACAGACTTGTCCAGAGCCACAATGTACTGAGGGGGCTGACAGATTGGAATTTTACATAATTACATGTTAAAAATAATTCCACCTGTTTATCTTTCACATAAAGTACAAAAAAATAAATATCAAAACCTTGAGTTTTTTAGAAGATCAGATCTTTCTTCTCTTTTTGGTAGAGGAATATTTCCTGGAGAAGACAAATATTAGAAAATAAACAAAATGTGTGCAAAACTGAATCGTTTCTTCTGGTATCATTCAAAAGATAATCGATCAAAAAATATAAAATTCAAAGGTCTACTCTCACCTGGTGGTGCCACAAAATATTCTTCAAGAGTATTTTTGGACAGTTGTAGCAGTTTGTCAGCACAGTACCCATCTGTCACTGTGTCCTCTCTCAGGTATAAAGCCCTGAATTTAACAAAACCACAATCACATATCATGCTTTCATTTTTTTTCGCTCATATTTGCTCACTTCCTATGACAAATGTTATTGCAATGGTGTTATTGCAAACCTGTCTTCCAGAACAGAATCCATTGGTTCGATTCCATTTGTGTCAACAACATGAAGCTGATCTGCAAACCTGATTGCTTCTTCCAAACAATCCAGGCCCTGTTTGGTCCGGAACTCAACTAAAGCCAGCCGTTCCAGTTTGTCCACCAGATCTGCAGGGATTTGTTTTGGCTGTAAACATAACCAGATAATTATTAAATGTGGCAATGTACAAAGTGAATCTTTCCTAAAATAAAAAACAAACAAACAAAAACAAAAAACACAATCCAACAACTTTATTACGCTCTAGGATAATTACATTATACAAATATTGGTCTCAATTCTCTCCCTTGACTTAGTCATTATACAATTGGTCTTTAAGTGTTACACAGCACTGGCCCTCAACCTTTTTCTGCGCCACAGACCAGTTAAATGTCTGAATGTTTTTGACTGGCTTAAGACTGAATAAACTTTTATGTTCATTTTGCTATCTTGAGGGTTTCAATTTAGTGGTAATGTATATATGTTACCGGAGAAAACCTTTTAAGAAGGTAGTGGATGTAGGTAAGACAAGTGACCGAGGCAAGCTTCTTGAATTGTATGCGAGTCATAGACATATGCCATTGTCATTAAAAGCAAATTAAAAACCAAGAAAATATTTTACATCATTAATAAGGTATGCAAAGTGCAAGAAATCAAAATCAGTGATGACCTAACATTACCATTTTAAGTTTCACATTCATTTTTTGATAAATATAAGCTTTCGCATCTTTCTTCCAGAATTAACCCTGAGAGATTATGCGATACGCTCGTGTTTGTAGTTTAGGCATCTAGAAAATCTTAAAGCCATGTGTGTCGTCACATATAAGATAACGTTACCGGGGGGAGGTGTTCTTCCGGTACTGGTTCCCATGTTGGAGCTTTTGGAACCTGCTAAAAGGACAATGAGGTTAAATAAACAACTGATTAAAATCTTTTCTCAGAATTTACTGTGTCTGACCTTTAAGTTGTGTGTTGAAGAGCAGAACTGACGATTTATACAATTGACACGAATCTGCGAGAAACGGACGTTTCTCCTTGTGATAAGCCCATTGCTCTTTAACTCGTTCAATAAAGATCCCACCGTTTTTAAAGACAAGCCTCGGCACAAAGTCGCAGCAGTATTACTAAGCATCGACATTTCCTACACAGCTATGTCTCAGTTGTAAAGAAATAAACCCAAGTTTTTCTTTTTTTTTTTTTTTTGGCTAGACAGTGTGGGACGCATACGCATTGCTAAAGCCTAGATGCTAACCTGTGTAGCGATTCTAAGATACTTCCCTTGCAGGTACTTCCGGTTTTGCCTAAATACGAGTGCATGAACATTGGCTGTGAACGTAACTTTACTGAGGTCGAATATTCTACTGTACCTGTAAGATGTAGTTCGGACTAGTTTATTTGAGACAGTAGTAAGACATGAAATATCCCATTCTAAACTAGTTCAGCTATTAAAGCTGAACAGAATAAAAATCCATAAACCAGCCAGTAGGATGCACTAGGGTACATAAGCCAGTGCTACTAAAGTGATACTATAGTGCCAGATAAATGGTGAGGGTTGCGTCAGGAAGGGCATCCGGCGTAAAGCTTTTAGCCAAATCAAATATACGAATCACTAAAATGATTTCCATACTGAATTGGTCGAGGCCGAGGTTAACAACGACTGCCAACAGTGCTGTTGACCTACAGGGTACTGGTGGAAATTGGACTACTGTTGGTCGAAGACAAAGATGAAGAGGAGGATGATTGATTTGAACAAAAAGAGAAAAGAGGAAGGATAGAAGTGTTGGCCTGAAGTTTGGAACTCTGAATGTAGGTACAATTACAGGGAAAAGTAGAGAACTAGCTGATATGATGGAGAGAAGAAGAGTAGACATTTTGTGTGTGCAGGAGACTAGGTGGAAGAGCAGCAAGGCTAGAAACATTGGAGGAGGCTACAAACTGTTTTACCATGGTTTAGTGAAGAGGGAAGTGGCCAAGGCCAAACAAAAGGCATATGAGGAGTTGTATGAGAGTTTGGACACAAAGGAAGGAGAAAAGGAGTTGTATAGATTGGCGAGACAGAGAAATCAAGCTGGGAAGGATGTGCAGCAGGTGAGGTTGATTAAGGACAGAGAGGGGAATGTGATCACAAGTGAGGAAAGTGTGCTGAGAAGATGGAAGGAATACTTTGAGGAGTTGTTAAATGAGGAAAATGAAAGGGAACGTAGGAATGAGGAACCAGAAACTATTAGGAAGAAGGTAGATCAGATTAGAAAGGATGAAGTAAGAAAAGCCCTGAAGAGGATGAAGAGTGGAA